TCTTTATTGTCACAGAACCAGATTATAAAGTGTCTGCTGTGATTCCATTATCTGGGTATAACCCTATGTATGGACCCAATGGATATGAATAACAGATATTACCAGCTGGGAAGGAACACGTGATTAGACCATAAGGTAAATCCCAATTAGGAGGTATTTCAAACAAAATCATATCAGCTCCTCCCCCCATGTTGTAATCTTTGCTTCCATATTATAATGATAGCGTTGCTACTGTATCAATTGTAGCTACAGAGAATGTAGGATTAACTGCTGCTGCCCACACATTTTATAAATCATCTAAGACCAATGCAGGTATGTCGACCGCCAACTAATTGAAACCAGGCTATTCTTTAGTCCTTCCGAAAGTTCCATTAATTAAATCATAGTCGGATGATAATATGAGTTCACTTGTACCAGTAATAGCATCAGTTTTTTAGACTTGAAGTGTAATCTTAGTTAATTCATAAGTTGAATTTGGATTGAAAATGTTTGGCAAATGTATTTCTCCATTTGTATTTACATTGATTTAATCAAAATCAGTGATAATTACTTTGGTAGGATTTGGATAACTACCATAAAACAATCGACATTTTAGTTAAGTTACACCAGGTAATAAAGTAAAACCATCTTAAATACAAGGTAATTGTGTTCTATGGGGTAGTCCAGTTCCTAAATCTTATTCAAATCCATTTGTGAAAGTTGGCCAAATAGTTCTATGGAAGAGAACAATAATAGAAATTGGATCAGGATTATCTGAAGGTGGAATTGTTATAGTATTTGTAAAATATAGTCTAAACACTGACATGCCTTAAAGTGTTGCAGAGGGAGTTACAGGATCATAACCAACTTTGTTTGCGGACCAAACCCAAAATACTCTGAATTTAGGAGGGTCAATTGTCATTACCTTTCTTATAAATTAATTTGTTCCTGTATTTACTGTTTCTATTTTTAATTTGTAGGTTCCAGCTTTATTGTGATGCAATCCTTCTTAATAAGTTGATGAATAATCTGCACCTCTTGTACTAATCATAACTAAGTGTTCTTGATTTGCTATCATTCCCTATGTTAAAGGCATAGCCATTGTTATAACGCCACCTGCCCAATCACAAAATCTAGCTAAATGACCATCCAATCTACAATGAGGATAAGCTCCAAGGGGCATTGAAACAGCAGTAGTATTGAAAGTAAAAACTAATCGAGGAGCTGTATTAGTTGTGTAATCAGGAATATTATGATTTGTTTTAACATGCATATAGAATTCTCCCCTTGTTCCTTCTCTTGCCTTATCATTAATGATTATGAAGTCCATCCATTCTAATTTTGGTGGGAAACGCTTCGGACCTGTGATATCGATTCCGTTTAACACAGGGTTAGGTGGATAAGCAGTATTATAAAAATTGTCTACATTTGAAGCTGTTGATGTCGGAACAGTGGCATCAAAATAAGTTTAAATTCTAATAGGATTAGCAGTAGTAGAAGCCAATCCAGTTTTACCTCTAAATGATAAAGTAAATTTAGTTAGTACTGGAATCTCATTAAATTTAGTTAATTGGTAATATTTTATTCCACTTACATCCACTAAATTACATTCATGAGTGTGTCCTAATCTTTTAGGTGGACTTGTAACTCCTGACCAGACTTCGCATGTCGTTGTGTAATCTACCAATCCATTCTATACTTCTAATTCGACAAGACCATTTGCTGGGATTTTGTGGCATGTGGTAAATGTTGCTCTAAAAATGATCCAAGAATCAAAATCCATATCGACAACCTAAGATCTATCAGCATTCATTCCAACAGCTGTTTTTGGTAAAATATCAAATTAAGGTGGACCTAATATGCCACCATCTATAAATATGTTTGATGTTGGGAAAGTTATTCTCTTTATTTTTCTGTTTTGATTCCAAAATATCAATTTAATATCAATTCCAGGAGTATAAATTATTGGATTATATATGTTTGACAATTAAACCGGACCATTTGCTGCTACATTTCCAGAATTTACTATGATGAAGTAATAATACTCTCCTGTAAGAAAGTGATCAATCAAATAAACAGCACCTTGAGGACTAGTTGCTGTGACACCAAACTAATTGGGAAATCTAGTTTTGTCTGTAAACTTAATTAGTATATGATCTGGGGTTTAATTTGCACAATAAGGATAGTTAGTAGTACCTGTGGAGCAGGCTGTTATAACTTCTGTATGCTAAAATTGCAATGTCCATGTCGTTAATTCGCAAATTTATTATTTTGTTGATAAAAATGTTGCTGAAAGTGTAAGATCTTATACGTCCTTTGCCAATGTTGGAGGGTTAACACTTACATCCTTATAAACATCTCCCTGTTTAATAAATCCTACTGATTATTTTAGATAATTCATCGTATAAGGCTCATCTAATTCTGTTGTCCAAGCTGATGATACTGTAACAAAACATTACATATCATAAGCAGTACAGGATTTAACATTTGGTATTACAACAAACACATTTGATCCTGTGTTTACTTTTGAACTGAATCCTCTCACTTATAAAATAGCGTATTTTCTTGTAATTCCTCCTGAGAAAACCCAACATTAAACATTTGGATGACTGGTTCTGATACTCACATAACATGGTATTCTCTTTTTCGCATCATTTCCTAATCCGAATCCAAGATCATTTGGCCATGCTGCAGATGACTCATAAGTTGAGTTTACAGTGCTCATATTGAAATTAATTGCCCCTTCATATGGAATTGGTAAAAGTACAACCACATTTGAATAGCATACCATATCAGCATCCACTTGATCAACAGATGTACATTTTATGTAAGTGTTTGGTGCAATAAATTAATCTGCTGCTATTTCCATTGTGTACAAATCTTATTCTAATGGAGTTTTATCAAATGTGCTATATACACCATCATTAAATGTTAAAACTCTGAAATCAAATCTTCCAGGGATTGGAGTGATCTAAGAAACAGCTACTGAAATTGGTAAATCACAATTACCAAGTCCTGTGTTTGGATCATATTTCAGATAGTTTGTAGATGTTGGAGTTTTAAAACTGAACCTTTATAAATAATAATTGCAAGTTGCTGCTATTTCTGCTCCAAAATTACAAGTAGGTGTGCTACCAACTACATTCCAACCATTGAAGTATTATCCACTCATTCTCCACCATAATGGGATCTAAAAGTAGATGCTGCCATAGCTTGTTGGTGAAGTAGTTAATTTTAATTGGTTGCTAGGCATAGGGTATAATCGGAAATCCAATGGTCCAGTCTTATCCAAAGAAATATTTTGCATTTATTTATATAAATCGATTGCAACAAAGTAAGGACTCTAAATTGAAGATATCTGAATAGATCCAGCTTCAATATTTTAATCAATTCCTTTGTAATTACTACTTGATCCACTTATAACTGGAACTTTCCCGAAAGTAGAATATGTGTAAATTTAACAGTATTAATACAATTTTGAAATTGGAGGGTTGACTGCATAAATTTTAAGAGTAATTTCTTAAGGTGAAAACGATGCAAAGTTTGTTATTGTTATATTCTGGCCACTAGTTACACATGATATAGGTGTTGTTCCGTTTTGAGATAATCCAGATATAATTCTACAAGTTGGATCCAAAGTAAAACCAGCAGGAATGATATAGTCAATTTTTCCAGTGTAAGGAATTTTATTTTGTGGAGTGAATTTAATGGTGTAATCAATTCTTAAATTTTAATTTAAAGGAGCACCAGCAATAGATGGATTAATAATCTAACCAGGAGTGATCGTTGTAACACCAACATTGAAGTATTCAATAACTGTATTGACTAAAGGTTCTAAGGTCTCGAAGATGAATGGATCTGAATCACCTGATGCAGATGGATTTATGACATTCTTCAATTTCACTTTATGTTATCCTTTAGGCAAGGCCGCATCTATGGCACTAAAATATATTCTTCTTCCTTCCACTTGACAATTTAGATTTTATAAAGTATCTACTAAAACGCATTCAACATTAGATATATCGAATCCTTCAGCTATTTCAGCCCTAAACCAACTTCCTTTAATTAAATCTATTGTTGTAGTAAACTAAATCACATAATTTGTAACATAACCTCCTAATTTTGAACCATCATTTATTATTTGACCTTCAGAAGCTAATTGACTTAAATATATGCGTACCTATTGTATGTTTCTTATAAACAGGAGCGAAACCAACAGTACCAAAATTTAAATTTTAGTCCACAGGAACAGTATCCCTTAAAGTTATTATCTGAAGATAGCCACTCGATTTCCCTCCTAATCCTACTGGATTTTTGTTATATTTTATTCTAACTTTCTAGCTACCAGCATTCAGAGGTTCTGAACCGAAAAATATTGTAATTGTTCTGTTGCTGATTGTATAGTAATTTGTTGCTGGTATAGTCACCGCTGGCTCCACATAAGGTATGCATGTTGTTGTAGTTGAAAATGTGTATTCGATGTAGCATTCCTTATCAATATTCGTAGCCTAATTAAATATTATTAGAAGTTCCTTACTGCCATTACATCATCTTATAAAAGACGCAACTATGTTCCATCAAATTCCTAAGGGAAAGTAATTTATAATCTTCCATTTGAAGAAATTCTTGTGCTCACAGATAAGAAAATATCGTAAAAAGTATAAGCATCTTCATTATTTCTGTAAGGTACTATCGGATTAGCACGATCAGGGTAAATGAAATCTAAAATATAATGAAATTGAAGACCTGCTATGATTTCTGTAATAATTGCAAAAAGTAAAATCATATTAAAAATAATTAAATAATCATCCCTATTCTCCCTGCCTAATACTAACCACACATCAGATTTTAACAAATACATACAAATACAGAGTAGTTATTTAATAACAATTACTTTCACAAGATTAATTTCTAAATTAAATTAATCCTTTCTAAACCCAGCTCTCCTATCCTTTCTCTAAAAAATGTTCTTTAATAAATATAAACATCATCAAGAAAAAATTACATAATTAATATTATTAATGTAAAAAAATGTCATTTTAAATTACTTATAAAATGGTTCGTCATTTTATCCTTTTGGAGATGAGCCTTCACATCATGATATGAGTCTTGACCCTTTCATTCCATTTCAAAGAGAAAGAGATAAAACTGGGAAATTGATTAAGAATACTGATTCAAATTTAGTGAAAATCGAAAAGAATAAGAATTAATATCACACTGACCACTCATTTTCTAATACTGATTTACTAAATTCTAATAAACTCAACACTGAAATAGATTTATCAAAATAGATTCCTTTAATTGGACCAATTATATAATTACCATTAATACGTAACCCTCAATAACAAATTTAAATTTAGGCTGTTTAAACTCCTAAGTATACCTTAAATTAGAATTTAATTGAAATTGGCTTATAATTGAAAAAATTGAAAAAACAATCTTCACTTTAAAAGGTCTCACTGCTCAGTAGGAAAACGAAGTCTTTGGCTTTGTAAATACCATCCCTTGGAATTTATGATCCAAATCTTTCTTCTAAACACTTGCCAAATATTCAAATCAAATCAAAAGCAAGGTAATAAATAGAGAGAATTTCTCCAAAAATCTAAATATCAATTCCTCCTGTGCAGAAAATCAAAAAGAATGATTTTGAAATGATGTTTGCAAAATAAATGGCCTCAATTAGGAGAGAAGTGGATTATCAGATGTAAAGAAATCCTAACTAATTTTTTAAAGTAGAAAAATTTGATATAAAACAAAATTTGGATCTAGAGGAGGCTGATTAACTAAAAAATCGTATGAAAGGATATTTTTAAAGTGTTAAAGAAAGCTTTATAAAAATAAAAAATTTGATGAGCATCAAAAAATGAATATTTTATAATAATTTTTTTCAGAATATATTAAATTTAGATTTAATACTAACGCCTAAATAGAGTCAAAAAATCAAATTGTGAAATGATAAATTCTAATCTATCTTCTCTGTCATAAAAACAAAAATAGTTATTTTGAATTTTAGTTTGTTTACAAATTTATTTAAATGCTTTAGATGATTTCAAAAATAGTGATATTTCCATTAAAATGAATTGTTGATTAAAAAAAATATCTTCTATGAATAATGTTCTCAATTTTTAGCCTTCTTTTTTTTAAGTGTGCAGATTTGAATTTATGGTTTATGAAAATTAAAAGGGAATTGGAATATTTTGGAAGAATTATGCCAAATTACTACAGTTCGTTCAAGCTCTTTTTTTGTTTTTGAAGATTATGATGAAATAAGCATTTTCTTTATATGAACTCCAAAGATTAAATAGGAGTGCACCATTTACAATCATATTTTTCTGAAACGATGAATAAGTCTAAGTGATTGGAAAAAATTATATTTATGCATCCAACTGAGAATTAATGAGTTTTTATGTTAATATTTCTCTATAGACGTTAAGCCTCATTTCCTTTGAGGCTCTTATGATACAGTTATTTATAGGTTCTTTAACTTTATGTTTGGAGCGAATAAGGCCATAGTAAGAGGCAAAAGGTCAGAACCGCAATATTCGCACCATATTTTGCCATATTTCCTTCGCTTATTTTCTAAGCTGAATTTTTCTTCAATAACTTCTTAATGATAGGAGTTCTTCTCGAAAACTTTAGTAATTTCATGTAAAATTGTGGCATTGTCATCAGCATATTTAACCATTAGTAATTTAGATTACTCTCAATAAATACTAGAGAGAGAGGGGAGCCCTAGGAAACTTCATTATCAAATGATAAGCTTAATTAATAGTATAATTATAGTATACATTAGTATCATACTCATATAAAATTATCTTATCTCATCATATTAAAAAAAATAAATTAAGACACAGTAGAAATTCAATAGAATAATCAATAAAGATGCAATTCATTTTAAAGAAAGAAATAATTCCACCTTCTCTACTTAGGATTTAGAGTAGTAATTTTTTTAATTCTAGGGGAAGAAATGGAGTCATAAATTCAAAAAAAAAATGGGTTTTCAGACAAATTAAAGCCAACAAAAATATTAATAATAATCGCCAAATTTAAAATTTCTCTTTTATAAAATTTTGTTTTATGGTGAAAGTATAATTAAATACGAAAGAAAAGTTAAGGTATCCATTTCGAGCATTGATAATTAAATAATCAAAAGCACACTTATAATTTTTGCTGCAATCAAAGAAGTTAAGCTAGTAACGAGAAACGACCATTACCTAATTTTGATATATAGTATAAATTGGCAAGGAGTTCAATTTTATATTCCTAATTCTTAGATGCAAAAACAATGAGGACCACCTTTGTTTAATGTTATATGAAGTTAGACATTTAAATGAGCAATATATTTTAATAATTGATGTTGATGATAAGTGTGTTAGTATTGCGACAATGACTTATTTATATTGCTCTAGTAAAAGAATGTATCAGTTCTTTTGATAGAGTGCCATCTGGATATGATTTAATTTTCACACCGCAAATCCTAATTTGCAAGAAAAGCTTCAGGAGAAGAAAATTAAGATTAGCATTTCATAAATAATATAGATTTTGGTGTTCAGAAAGCCACTAAGTCTTAATGGTTTAGAAATGGATTTTTATATCTTAGATAGAATATTTTATGATAAATTTCAAGGAAAGTATTGGGCTAATAACTCTATAAAATATTTTATTTCTGATTCTTTAGGTTTTCAAATTAACATTGTTTTGATTTTTAGTGCTTTACAATATATTAAATATTAAAGGGTTTTACACATAGAGGAAAAATAAATCTACATAGTTCCAAATACAAAAGAATTTTTTAAGGCTTCATAAACAAATATTTTCGGTAAGTTGTAAATAAGAAAATACATTGTTCATATATTTTATATATCATTTTCTTCAATACATTTGAAATTCGTTTTTATTATGCTACAAACCATTAGTTTTGTAAATAACAGAAATGTATTAATCTTAAACCAACGATTTATGAGATCTTATTGGCTAACAATCAATATGCTTTATAATTATTTGCACTACATCGGATATTGAAACAAGAAGAGTTGATTAATCATATGAATCAAGGCAATTGTTTATTAGTCTTAATGGAATTATTTAAACCCAATAATCACAGATTTAAAAAGTAGAAAATAACTTGAAGATAAAGCTTTGGATGTCGCTTAAATCTATAAAGATTAAGTGGATGAAGATAAATTATAATAGTAAGAATGATCAATACAAAATAAGATTGACAATTAGATAATCCCTGAACCTACAAATTATCTGCTAGAAAAAATAAGAAAAATTAAATAAATTTACAACAGTTTCAAGAATAATTACATTAATATAAAAATAGAATCTCAAAACGTATCCCTATTTCTGTTCTTGAAGGAGTTATTAATCAAAGTTACCTATACCATCTAATTAATGCAATAAAAACCAACATTATTATATTTAATTATAATTAAAAAAATACATAAGTATTTAGTTGAAATTACCCAAACACAGTATATATCTATAACAAAGGCAACCATTACTAATAAATTGTTAAAAGACAATAAATATATACGGATATTAGATAAATAACTAATATTAAAATAACTAACAACAAACAACAATTCGGTGTTTCAAACAAAAACATTATGGAAATACTACAATAGAAATAGACAGTTCCAATAACTTTAATTCTAAACAATATTAAAATGATTACAAAACAGAAAATAATAGACTATCTATAAACAAATTACAAAAGTATAAATGTTGGATAGAAAGAATATTTTCGAAACTTGAATTATGGAAATCATAATAGAAGAACCAAAAGATAGATATGCAGAATAAATAATCTTATTGAAAACTTTTAAAGTTATGAATAATCAAATCATAATGAGTGGAGAGTTCGACAGCTCTCCCTAACAAAGAGGAATTAGAAATCGTAAACATAGGAAAAATATCAGAACCACATTAAAAACTTATCAATTCAAATTAAAAATTAGCCAAAACTTTAATTTGTATTTGTAGTCAAATGAAAATAAAGGATAAAATTGCATTTTGAAAAGAATTTATAAATTGATTACTTCAATATTCAAAAACTAGTGGAACTAAATAAGTTTAAGAATGTTAAAATAGATTTTATTAAAACAATAATCGGATTACAGTAATGAACAAAAAGAGAAATTATTGTAAATAGAATTAATTAAAGATATACATACATAAGAAAAATATATTGTTTATAAATTGAATTTAGCTGTTTATTCAAAAAATAAGAATGTCTTTATTTGATAAGATATAATTAAGCATGATAATACAAATACAAAAAATACATTGTTCATAACTTTAATTGTCATTATCCAAAACAAAAGAATTTCTTATTTTATACTATAAGAATTTATATTAATATTGATACTGTGAAAAGAAGCCTTCTTTATCACAATATAGTTCTTATTTTTACAATACAAATAGTTCAAATATTTCACAATATAAAGTTGTTTTTAGTCTAAGTGAATTACATTTAGTCAATATATTTAATTTATCTTTAATTATTAAGATATTTCAAAATTGCTTTTGGCTATATAAAAATCTTATAATCTAGTACATTAAATATCATAAAAAATAAGAAGAAAATACAAAAATACATTTTAAATAAATTCAATTTATCATTTTATTAAAAACAAAAGAATTAATCATATAATATATCGTATTTATTCTGGAAAAGTAGCAAATGTTTAATCGATATTGTATTTTGTAAACAATAAATACACCATAGATTAAAAGAACATTATAAAAGTCACAATTTGATTACAGATTTAAATAGACTTTCTGTTGAGTAATTACAAGTAGAACTATATAAACCCTAAATTTAATCAAATCAATCATAAAAATCGTAAGTTAAATTTCAAAATATATCTCAAAAAACAAATTTAATACCAATTTGAACTGAATTTCTTCAATAACAAGAGGAGAGGAAATAGAAAACTAAGAAATGATTTCAACATATTTGTATTAAAAAGAATTGATTTTTTAAATTAAACAAATATTTACTTTGATTAACTATAAATACTTAATAGATTGTGTTATAATACTTAATATATTGTTAAAATCAAATTAATCAAAAATTTAGAATATCTATCTGATTGGCAATTTCTTGTAAAATTTTTAAATTGTTATTTCTTCTCTAAGAATTTTATTCTGAATTACTCAACTGGATAAACTACTGTTTAGGGATAATTTTTAATAATGAATTTGTTTGTGAAGTTTATGAATCGTTCTGTCTGCAAACTTTACTTTATAAATAGTTGAATAATTTCATTCCAATTGAAATATTAATAATTCTTAAATTATAATTTGATAATTCCGCAAACCTTATCTAAAGGTGTAAATGTTCATAAGATAATTCATTATCAGTTAAAATTAATAATTGGATTTGTTTATTTTTTAATGTTAATTTCTCTTTCAAAGAATCTAATAATAGTTTGAAAGTCTGAAATTCAATTTTTTCAAAATCCTTATTGTTATGTATTTTGAAGTTTGTTGTAGGATTATTGTACCAATAAACTTCCATTCGCTTTTTTTGTGATATCTTGAATATCTCACCATAACATTTTAGAAATGAATCAGTATATGTTCTCAATTCTTCCTTTTTATCAATTACAAAAATGAGATATTTTTCTGGGGGAGCTTCTTAATTGTTTAAGTTCTGTAAAGGTAGGTAACTAAATTGAACATATGGATCTAATGGGCTCTAATTATCCAAATTCAGAGTAGATATTTAAAAGATTAATTATTTTATCTAATTGAGGCTAGTTTCAGCTTATAATTGTTTTAGGTATCCAAAATATTCATTAATTTGAAATAATATTTAATATTACTCATTCGTAGAAATTTCAAAATATTCTGAGGAAAATACTTCTTTTGATTGTTTAAATAAGGATTCTATCAATTCCGAGAGTATTGTTTATAAATTATTAGGTTGTACGGTCTTCACAACCTCAGAAATATTATTTATGAAATATTTCAATATTTTTGTATATTAAAAGAGAAATTCGATTTATTCCAAACTATTTTTTTAATTGTTAGAAGTTATTAATATTTATAATTGGGTTTTTATATTCAAAGCAAATTTTTAAAAGTGTCCTAATGATTCAGTAATTTGTTAATTATCAAGAAGTTTCTTAAAATCATTCGGGTTATCACAATTAATTAAATACTTAAACTATTCAATATAATGTTATGACAATATGATGTCCTAATTATTATAAGCAAATTCTATTTATTCCATAATTTTCAATATTAAATTGATAATTTCTTGTTATTATATGTGTTCTACTTTTGATTCAATGCTATTATTGATTTACTTAATAAATTAGATTGCTTGCTAAAATTCGGAAATAATTTAATCATATGAAAGTTATTCTAAATTGACATAAATATTTTATATAGATTTCCTTAGAAATTACAATATAGAAATTATACAGTTGACACTCCCTATTTATTGGTCACCTATAATTATCTTCTAACCCTAACTTGCTAAAAAATACTCATTTGATGCTATATAATTTTGAGGTTATCTTAATGTAATTGTAGTATACACTTCAAAGTTCAGAAAATGATTCTGAGGAGTCATTATTAAATTTTGTCTAACTTATTCAAATGCATATTGTATTTCCTTCTTAATTTATACATAACTTAAATAATCCGAACGGGCAATTTAAAAAAATGATTAGTTTTTGAAATCTTAATTTTAAATCGCTTCCTTCAAACTATTTAATAAGTTGATTGGAAATTAATTACCAAATGCTATACAAAATATTTAGACAGTGTATTGTAATTTAATCTATTTGCATAATTCCGAAATAGCATTAATATCAAATGGCTCTCTTCCATCCGTGACCAATGTAATCGTCACATATTAAGTTGGGAATTAATTTTAGAGCATTAATTGAAATAATTAAGAAAGGGCCATAGTTAGATTTCCTCGTTCTTCATTTGAATATGGGTGGATGCTATTCAAACTTGTTGACCATTAATATTATATTCTTTAAGTTTCTAGCAGGTATCCAAAGGTTTATTCATAAACTTAAATGATGTACTTATATTCCCTATTCATAGAAGCAGTGCCATCAATAAGGGTTATTGGGATTGAAATGACTTATTAAATCTCTGGTGCCTAATAGAAATTCATAAATTAATAATATATTGATAATTTTATGGAGCAAAAATTATTTTAATAAAATTATATGAGAATGATTCCTTTCAAGATTTTATTTATTCATATGGATGAAAAGTCATTCCTAATGTTGTAGGATATAACACGAAGGTAATTTTGTAGAGCAACATGAGTTTTCTAATATGAGATTAATGGAAATATATACGCTTAATTCTTACAATTATTGTTGTAGCATTATTGTATCAGAAATTGATTGCAATAAATAACTCAGTTTATTTATTTATTCTATAATTCTTGTATCTATTTAGTACTTGCTAAATTTAGAACAATATTTTAAAGTTTCCTTCTTACTAATATAATTAAGCTTTCCATTTTATAAGAATATTGTGTTCAGAGATTTTTGTGAAAATTAATTAAAAATTTTCACTTTCTCTCATTATAAAGATGTGTTATATTTTCATATTGAATAGTACTTTATTAAATATACTTACGAGAGCGATCATTATTATTCTTATTTAATTAATATTAGAAAGATTTATTATTTAATTATTTATTTTTAAAAATTAATGATTCATCTAATAAAATTTAGAGACCTTGTACATATATTCTTTCACTAATGTATATATTCTTTAGGAAAATAAGTACTATGAATAAACATTGTTCTTGTTTTTTTTTGTAAAATATTTTAATTTACTAAGGTAATTAATGTTTTTCTTTTTGTTAGAGTAAACTTAAATATCTAGATTTACAAGGTTAGGTTTATTACATAACCTGTTCTAAACAAAATATAGGATGCTGACTTTAAGTATAAATTAGAAATCTCTTTAGTTAAAATTAAGTCTAGAAAATATAGATAATTCAATGTTGGATTAATTAAAGGGAATAGGAATTAAATGTTAATCCAAAAGACTAAAAAATACAATATTTCATTTTTTTATCCCTATGATAAAACTGCAATTCAATTAATCCATTTAAGGTGGATATTTACTAAGGTAATAATTATTTGGTTCATTATGTTCATTCCTCATTCTTCAAAAGAACATTTTTAGAATTATTTGGAATATTCTTTTCAAGTAACAAATTCTTTCTCAGTATTAATCCTCAACTACTGGACCTTGACTTTGTGTTACTATTTGTCATAAAAATGTGAAGGCTTTTTAGTTTTTACGAGACTCTTTGCAGAATACAAGATTTTGAGCATTATTGAATACTCTAATAATAGCTTTTGTATTCTATATTAAGATAATGAATGAAAATTGATTGATTCTTCAACAATTGAATAATACAAATTAAGATATGCATCAAAGAAATGGATTTAATAATAGACACATTTAATGAAATGTAATCATATTTATTAAAATTGTAATCCAAATTTTATAATCAACAAAAGATCTTAAAGTTGATATAATAATTTTTCTTAAAATTACATTTAACTTTTTTTTAGGTGGTGCATTTAATAACAGTTAGATTAACAGAAATTATTTATATAATAAATATTTGTATTTAATGCATAACATATATCATTTGTTAATTTNTAATGGAAATATATACGCTTAATTCTTACAATTATTGTTGTAGCATTATTGTATCAGAAATTGATTGCAATAAATAACTCAGTTTATTTATTTATTCTATAATTCTTGTATCTATTTAGTACTTGCTAAATTTAGAACAATATTTTAAAGTTTCCTTCTTACTAATATAATTAAGCTTTCCATTTTATAAGAATATTGTGTTCAGAGATTTTTGTGAAAATTAATTAAAAATTTTCACTTTCTCTCATTATAAAGATGTGTTATATTTTCATATTGAATAGTACTTTATTAAATATACTTACGAGAGCGATCATTATTATTCTTATTTAATTAATATTAGAAAGATTTATTATTTAATTATTTATTTTTAAAAATTAATGATTCATCTAATAAAATTTAGAGACCTTGTACATATATTCTTTCACTAATGTATATATTCTTTAGGAAAATAAGTACTATGAATAAACATTGTTCTTGTTTTTTTTTGTAAAATATTTTAATTTACTAAGGTAATTAATGTTTTTCTTTTTGTTAGAGTAAACTTAAATATCTAGATTTACAAGGTTAGGTTTATTACATAACCTGTTCTAAACAAAATATAGGATGCTGACTTTAAGTATAAATTAGAAATCTCTTTAGTTAAAATTAAGTCTAGAAAATATAGATAATTCAATGTTGGATTAATTAAAGGGAATAGGAATTAAATGTTAATCCAAAAGACTAAAAAATACAATATTTCATTTTTTTATCCCTATGATAAAACTGCAATTCAATTAATCCATTTAAGGTGGATATTTACTAAGGTAATAATTATTTGGTTCATTATGTTCATTCCTCATTCTTCAAAAGAACATTTTTAGAATTATTTGGAATATTCTTTTCAAGTAACAAATTCTTTCTCAGTATTAATCCTCAACTACTGGACCTTGACTTTGTGTTACTATTTGTCATAAAAATGTGAAGGCTTTTTAGTTTTTACGAGACTCTTTGCAGAATACAAGATTTTGAGCATTATTGAATACTCTAATAATAGCTTTTGTATTCTATATTAAGATAATGAATGAAAATTGATTGATTCTTCAACAATTGAATAATACAAATTAAGATATGCATCAAAGAAATGGATTTAATAATAGACACATTTAATGAAATGTAATCATATTTATTAAAATTGTAATCCAAATTTTATAATCAACAAAAGATCTTAAAGTTGATATAATAATTTTTCTTAAAATTACATTTAACTTTTTTTTAGGTGGTGCATTTAATAACAGTTAGATTAACAGAAATTATTTATATAATAAATATTTGTATTTAATGCATAACATATATCATTTGTTAATTTTCATATTAAATACATAAATACGCATCAAATATGGGTGAAAAAGTTCTTGAGAAGAATTGGGTGACCAAACTTGCTGATACTTTATAACCATTTGCTATAGGTGGTTCATCTGGATGTGTGGCTACGTGTTTTGTTTAACCAGTGGACTTAGTAAAAGTTAGAATCCAACTCAAATCAGAAAAATTAGGTCCTAATGCAGGCAGTGAAATAAGTCCATTTCGTGTCTTCTCTGAAATCTTGAAAGAAGGAGGTGTGTTGAGTTTTTGGAAAGGAATTGATTCTGCATTGGCTAGATAAGTATTTTACACTACCACTCGTATGGGAATTTATAAGACGATGTATATGAGATCAAAGTAAGCAAATAACGGAAAAGAGCCCTCATTTTTAGCTAAATCTTGGTGTTCAATCGTAGCAGGTTTCCTTGGCTCATTAGCAGGTAATCCAGCGGATTTAGCATTGGTCAGAATTTAGGCAGATAGCACATTACCTGTTGAAGAAAGAAGAGGATATAAAAATGTTTTTGATGCATTTTATAAAATTGTGAAAGATGAAGGAGTAGTAGCATTATGGAGAGGATCTACTCCAACAGTTATAAGAGCAATTGTTATTAATGTAGCAATGTTGGGACCGTATGACGAGATCAAAGAACAATTAAATCATTATTTTGGAACCAAAGATACTCAATAAACTCGATTATTGTATTTGTTTATTATATTTCTTATAGAGCATCTGCAGCAGCTGGCTTTTTAAGTTCATTTTGTGCATTACCTTTTGATAATGCAAAAACAAAAATGTAGAAAATGAAAAAAGATGCAGCAGGTGTATATCCTTATTCTTCAATTTTTGACGCTATGGGAAAAGTAAGAAAAATGAATATTCATAGACTGCTAAAAGAGAAGGTATTATTGGACTTTGGGTAGGATTCCCAACATTTTATTTCAGAATTGCACCTCACACTATGATTACTCTTTTGACTTAAGATTGGCTTACAGACAAGGTCAATTCATGGAGAAAAAAGAAGCATTGAAAAATTATCATTCAATACAATAATTATTAATATTATTATTATTTTAAATAATAATAATTTTGCATAATTTTCTTTATGAAATAGATGATAATTTATTTAAGAATAAGTATCATCAGATCAATTTGTTTCTTAATATTAATATTTACTATTGTTATTCATAAACTCTTAATTCAAATTTTGATAATGCAATAACAACCATTTTTATTCAAATTGGGATGGAAAAAAGAGCGATTACAATAAAATAAAAAAATGTTAAATAAATGGAATTTATTTGAAAAATACATCTAATAAAATCTCAGGGTTGGTTATTATCTTGAATATTTAGAGATGTGGAATCTTAAATTTTTGAAGTAATTTTAATATAGGCAGGATTAAATTATTGAGCTAAATGATCCCCAGCTTTTGTTTCAAGAATATTTCCATTAATATCTGTAACTGTGTAAGAGTATACACCCACATTCTTCGAAAGATCAACCACATCCCCAACTACTCCTGAGGTGTATTTAGAATTAGCTTCTATTTAGGATTAGTGTTTTATAAATGTATTATCCAATTCAGCAGTAATTTTAGCCCAATGTTCTAATGATATTTAAACTAATTACAGGCTTCCTTAGAACTTAGATGATAATCCTTTTCACCTACATTTTCAAATTCAAAAAAAGGCACTGTTAAACGTTCTGGTCTTATTATTATGAAGTTATTTATGAGGTTTTCTAATGTGTCCTGTAAATACGGAAAATAATAAGGTGCAAATAAAAATTGCTTTTAACATAATTTATATAATAAAAACTTGTTTTTACAAATGATGTATGAGATATTTAACATATTATCAAACTGTTTAGAATTGCAAAGAAATAAATAGATTTAAATCCTATTGTAAAAATAACCAATAAATATGGTAAAAAATCTTCAATCTGAATTTAAAATAAAATATCTAATTTCAAAATTAAATTGCAACCATTAAAGTTTAAATTATTTTTCTAAAGAATTATGAATCAAATCAGAATTAATAACTACAATCAATTCTTATTTTGCTTTAAAGCAATCTATTGTGCACATTCAAATTAATGATTATTGAATCTCAAATTAATAAGATATCTTATTACAAATAGATGATATTTTATGCAAAATGGAATATTGATAAACAGATAATATAAATGACTATCAAAAATTGAAATATTGCTTTTTTATTGTGTTTTGTTTTCCATCAAATATTCTTACTATGATATGTTAGGCTTAGAAGAAATTAGCTCTTGATTAACTTCTAGGTTCCATAATTGGAGGTGGTTAATATTTAATTGGACTTAGTAATTGCGAAGTCAATTCTTTTGATTTCCAATTACTTAAGGTTAAAGTTTTCAATTTTATGTGTTAGGAACTCTTTTTTTTGACAGGCTTCTACTCTTTGAACAATAATTGACACTTTTTTTGAGGTAATCCTAACATTTGAATGATTATGAATTAAGTTTATTAATTATTATATTCAAGTAAAATATATTTGATTGACTCGAATGAATTGATTGGTTATCTTCTTGGTGTTCTTTTTGGGCAATGATGCTGAAGATTTGGGTTTGTAATTCTGGAAATTCCAATTTTCAATCATTTAAATAGTATGTGCTGAACTGAAATTGAAAATCAAGTAAATAGTTAAAGATATAGTTATCAGACCAAATACAACAATAATCGCAACGGTTGCCAAAGAGTTTATGCCAAACCCCAAAGCAATTTCAATCGATCCAAAAATAAATAGAATGATAAAAAATATTTGAATAAGCCAACAAAGTTTTGTTCTCTTTTTTATTCTTTAAAATTATTTGATATCAAATCTGTCATTAAAATCAACATCAAATTCGAATTTATGATTGCAAACCTCACAATATAACTAAACAAGATATTATTTTTATAAATTACCTCATCATTATAAATTTTATTAACTCCATATTACTCTAGAATCCACATTTTTAGACACTCTTAATGAACAAACTCAGCAGTTCCTTTGCATTTACAAGGAGCAATAAATTTAGAGGTTTCTTCTTCACAAATACAGATTCTACATATTTGTTCTGTTTAATGATGCTCAAATACTTTTTAATGCTTTATATCCAGGCACAGATTCTAAATCATTGATATATATATGGCAAGCAATCTATTTCCTTCTCACAGCATCCTTAATTAATCAAAAAGGTTACCTTTGAATGCACAGTTTTAAGGACTTTTTGTCGGAATTACGGCATTTGTATGCTTATACTTTCATTTAGGATCTGAATGGAGGAATTCAATTGAAGAAATTTACTGTTTTATGTTGATGTATCATTGCTCTCATTATTAGCCATATTGAGAAAAAATTATAATAAAAAAAGTAAATAATTTACAAAATTGTTCATTGTTCTGAAAGATTAGCACTTGTCATTAATTGGTTGATTTAAATCACTTAAAGACTTGTAATTTGAGGTGGACAGGTTTATAATTAAACAGTTCTCCTCCTTGCTAAAGGACTTCCAGATATGCTGTGTCCCATATGAGATTATAACTAAAAAAAGCTGCCTTACTTAGTATCTCTTCTAGGTTTATATGGACAAAGAGTCCAATTTTCAATCATTTCAATCTACAGAGAAGTTAAAATGCTAGCCAAAAAATAGACAAACAATATTAAGGACAAAACTAAGATTAGGGTCATCACGGCATCCACTCCTATATTGTTTAATTTGTATTCCATATATAAGGCTATGATAGGTAGGGATAATACCAACAAATCCGCTTAACAGGGAAATAATAACAAACAAATAAACTAACCAACAAATCTTCTAATGAGATGGTACTTCAGAGATTCTCTTTAAATTAACTCTGTTAACGATCGACATTCTCATTCTAAATCTATAGGAACATAATTCGCATTTAACCTATTTATATTTTATAAACAAATTACTTTATCTTTGAATACGTCTTCAATACCATTCTTTTATAATATCCACAATTTTAGACATTCTTCATGAACAAACATTAAAGTTCCTTTGCAAGCACAAGGAGTTATGAATCTGGAAGTTTCTTCGTCAGCCATACAAATCCTGCATTACTCTAAGAAATAACGATTTCAATACTTCCACGCTTAGATAGTTACAATTATTATTCATTCATTTCATTCACATAAATATTGCATCCAATTATCTTTTTCCTTTTAATATCCTAAAATATTTGAACAATTATGTACTTCATAGTAAAATGTTTTTAGAATCCCCTTTTTTATGGTTTCTTTTTAAGGCAAAGGAACCTAATCTGTTTGATTTTCTTGGGTAAGATCTGGAATGAATTATATTGATGAATTCATAGGATTGTAATTTCTATTTGGAGATTATGTTGTCAGTCTTATCTCAGTTGTCTAATGATTATCGGTCATAAGAGTTTAATTATTATAATAAAATAGTAAGATTTTTGATGATAATAATATTACCATTTCATTTTTGAGAACATTTTTATAATTATAATATACTATTTTTATAATCAATTTTCAACCACGGTCGTATTAAGTTATCCAAATGCTATTAACTTATTATATTTAGCATTCATTTTAGTAGTAAAGAAAGTATCTTCATTATGAATGGGATAAGTGTCCATTACAGCTAGCACTCCGAAATCATTTAAGAGATTAGTTTGCAATTGAGCAATGATTGCTCAGCAATAGTTCTTCTGCGATCATCCTAATGGTCAGGCAATCAATGATCATAATTGGTTTCAAGTAAAGGTCCATCAATCACATTTATAATAATACTATCTAATTATAAAATTCTGTCTCATGGCATCTATTAATGATTGGTCTGACTTAAAATTGAAACGTTCAAACCAATTGTTGGGTACATATTAAATGGATCCCTCATCATTATAACTCCCTAATTTTGGCTTTTTCCACCAATACCATTATATACAGCATAAGCAACTTAATTTTATTCAAGATATTATACAATTCCATCGAAAGTGTTTAAATTATCATTTATTAAAACATATCTATAAGCCCATGCTAAGGAAGGTACTCCTTCTACAATAAAGGTCAAAAGCTAGTCTTTGCTGAAGAGGCTCACAATATCTCCAGTTTTTTTCAATTGATACAACATTATATTTTCGTAAAGCATTGTGCAATTGCTTCTAAAAATATATGTACAATTAGATGCGATAATAACGAATCCTACATTGAACCAATGCCAATCAATTGACTCTCCTTTCTACTATCACCTTTCTTTATGATCAAATGTAAGGCGATATTTCTAGTTTAAATTGGAGCTGCATCAATATATCTTCCATGTATTATTTAATCACCGACTGATAATAGTACTCCAGTACTCTCAATGATGTCATTTGATATATGACCAATTTCATTGAAATATGCCCAAGCAGACAAATATTCAACGATTATTTAATTTCTATTTCACTCTTCTACAATTCCTTCTAATTCCTATGAATATTCAGGGTAATTTGTATTTATTCCCTTGGCTATTGTAGTATAATCTTCTGGGTCCAATATATAGAATGTATTATTCTTATGATATTCGAAGCTGGACCAAAAGAATTTTCATAGCCGTATTATTCAATGATGATTCTGACTGCTTATTTCAATCTTCATCTAGGTGTAACACTTAAGTCGATTTCAATTTCTGGTATCTAATTGTAATATGTAACAAATGACATTAATACGAGAAATATACTATATTGCATTGTAATTAATATTTCAGGATTTAAATGATATTTCCTAATGACTTCATTTATTAAATTGATGAATTCAATTTTAATTGATTATCTCATTCTTTTTTTATATATTAATTATCCTTTATATAAATTTATTCAATTCTTTAATTAATATTTATCAACCTTCAGGTATTTATATATGTACTTTAACATTAAATTAAAAATATATTAAAAATGGGTTGCTGCTTTACAAAAAAAAAGAACCAACTCAAACCAACAAAAGCTTATGAATACATGAATACTAATAATCAAAATAATAAACAATAGGAACTTGAATAATCATTCATTCAAGATGTGGAAGTTATAATAATTGATAACAAAGAAGAAGAGCTTGAAAGACACTCACTTAAATCAGATTAAGAGTATTATTTATAAATTATTATCCTTAGCATTCATCTTTGGGAATAGGGAGAAGTTCTAGGATAAGGTGCCTTTGGAAAAGTTGTTATGGGACTCTAGAAAAATGGACAAATTATGGCTGTGAAATAAGTTTTCATTTAAAATCAAAATGATGATGTATTATTTGTATATATTGTAGAAAGTGAAACAATTATAAAAAGAAATTGAAATGCTAAGTAGATTATAACATCCGAATATAGTGCGTTATATAGGATGTGAATAGAGAAACCAATTCATAAATATATTTCTAGAATATGTTAGCGGAGGCTCGGTCCAAACGTTGCTGGAGAGATTTGGATGTTTTAGAGAGAGACTTATCAAAACATATTTGAAATAAATACTGTTAGGATTAAGTTATTTACATGCAAAGAATGTCATTCATAGAGATATCAAAGGAGGAAACATTCTAATTGACAATTCTGGTAGATGTAAATTAGCAGGTATTTTATATCTTTATCCTAGATTTTGGGAGCAGTAAGCAATTAAGTGATATAACTCATGATAGTATAGGATCTATATGCGGAACTCCCAATTTCATGGCTCCAGAAGTAATTAATCAGGAATAATATGGAAAAAAGGCAGATATTTGGAGTTTAGGGTGTACTATAATTGAAATGGCTACTGGATAACCTCCCTATTCTGAGTATAAAGATGCAATTGCTGTTATGGTCAAAATAGGTAAATCTACACAACCGCCTCCAATCCCATAATAATTGTAATCTCCTGAGGCTAAAGATTTTCTATCTAAATGCCTGCAGATTGACCCAAAATAAAGAGCTACAGCTGATGAACTCTTGAAGCATCCTTTTTTAGAGGAACCTAAATAAAATTTAATGTTGAAAAAGACATCATCTTATACTTTTAACCAAAGACAGGTCTAAAAATGTAATTATCAATAAAAAAATTCTTTTTTGCTGGATGCTGAGAAATAAGACTAATAAATTGAACCAGTCTCCCCATAATTTTAAGGGTAATAGGGAGAAAGTTCAACTGAAACGAATAAAATTGCAGTTAAGAACAAGAAAGAGAAACCATTATATTAGTTGGTAATAGAACCAGAGTAAAATGATTGCATCTTAACAGGATAAGAGACCAATATAGTTGAGAATCGTAACAAATTTTAATTTTCAGAGTTTAATGAAGTTAGCTTCAAAGAAACCTACATAAAACCATTTAATAAGGAGAATCAGGATAATTTATAAAAAGAGTTGGACAAAATCTTAGGATAATACATCAATTGAAATTTCCAACATAATTGATTATATTTCTTCTCTAAATTTATATGGTATTAATAAAAAATAATCATAATAAACTTTTCAATTAATCAGCAGTCATTGTTTCATGTTTCAATAATTCTTCAGCAAATCTTTACAGCACCTATTAATTTTACTCTAATTTGTTTCTGACTCTATTATATGATTCCTTTAAATAATTAATATAAAAAGTAATACTTCTAGTAATTATTTCACTTGCATGTCAACTGTGTAACTGAACTTTTTGCTAGTTTAAGCATCTGAAATCAGTGTGTCTCCCATACCTAAGTCTTTCACATATGCGTAAGCCATAGCAGTAGCATTAGCCAAATCTGAACCACAACCAGATGAAATATTGTCTTTACCAAATTTGATATCTTCTGCTGCTCTGCCACCCATACAAACATCAATAGCAGCTAGAATATTACCTCTTGTTTATGACAAAGTATCCTCCTTTGGAACCATAGATGTGTAACCCAAAGCACTTCCTCGAGGCAAGATAGTTACTTTATCTAATGGTACTGTATGCTCTGTTAAGAGATTGATTAATGCATGTCCACTCTCATGGTATGCTGTTAAAATCTTATCTTGATCAGTCAGTTTGTATCGTATGCCCATCCTAGTTCTGTCTATTGCATGTTAGAAGTCATTGGCCTAAGCTTTTGATCGTTTCTCTTTTACTGCATTCATAATTGCTATGTTTACAATGTTTTCAATATCTGCTCCAGTCAATCCAGTAGTCTGTCTAGCCAATAATTAAGTGTCAATATCTGAGTGTTTTATCTATTTCAAGTAATATTCAAATAGCTGTTTTCTTCCCTTGATATCAGGCAACATTATATGAATTGTCTTATCAAACCTTCCTGCTCTTGTTAGTGCTGCATCTAATGATTATTCCATGTTTGTAGCTCCAATCACTATGATTGCCTCATTTTATCTAAATCCATCCATCTCGGTTAAAATTTGATTTATAGTTCCATATCTCTTTGGATCATCACCTCCTCTTGATCCACCAATAGAATCAATTTCATCAATAAAAATTATACATGGTTATTTTTATCTTGCTTCTTAAAATAATTAACGCACTCTAGATGAACCTACTCCCACAAACATTTCATCAAATTCTGCTCCTGATTTGTACAAGAATGTACAACCTGCCTCCTCTGCCAAAGCTCTTGCTAATAAAGTTTTTCCTGTTCCTGGTCTACCTACAAGCAATATACCTTTTGGCAATTTTGCTCCAGATTCATGATATTTACTAGGGTTTCTCAGAAAATCAACTACTTCTTGCAATTCTTCTTTGTAATCATCAATTCCTATGACATCTTTGAAGCCTGTTGTTTTTTTGACTTCCTTCTCTTCTGGAATAATGTTCAAACTAATTTCAATGTCGACATCAAATATCGTTGAGAATACTTCATAAGAAATAAAAAATATGATTGGGTATTTTACAAACCAAGGCAATGGTAAGTCTTATGGATTTTAGTTATAATATTCATCTTATGCTTATCGAATCCAATCTTTTATTACTTTGTTTTTTGGTTCTCTCCAAAATGATATTTGCTTAAACAGAGGTACACTCTTTTTGGCTTATAATATTTCATCGTACATCTTTAATCTACTAAGAATCTTTAACATATATTAAGTTTGTTACTTTCATATAATTGTAATAAGACTCGAAATCTTTGCTTATTAGAAATCCCTATTTGTACTCATTTAATTTATTTCTTTAACTTAGATTTTGATATTCAAATAAGCTGCTAAACTAGTATTTTAAGAAATTGAACTTTTTCATTAAGGTTTATTTTATATATCATTAATTAGTTTTATTGATTCAAAAACAGAAACATAGGGGTTCGTTGATGGGATAGTAAAGGAGGTGGTTATTTGATTGATTCACTCTCTTATCTAAACAATAGTGTATACTTGAAAATGAGAGAATAGATAATCTTTATTCTTATGAATTACTATCACTTTTTAAAACCTCTTTTAATACTAATTTGTAATTTAATGGGTTTGTTAGAATTTTACAATAAATAAAAGATTAAAATTAAATTACATTACGAATAAAAATATGATATTTAAGAATTAATTTATAAATACAATCAAGATTGGCATTCGAAACATTTTCTAATGATTGTGCCTACTTGCTATTGAAACTATCTTATTTGGGAGTCTCTTTACTAAATTTTTTATATTAGTTTCATCTACAAAATAGTTTAATTAGTCAATTGGTTCAATTATTCTAAAATGTAGGGATTGCTTTCCGATTTGATTTCTACATTCTTCAAAAATTGCTAAATTTATGTGTAATTGGTTTAAAATGGTATTTCATTTATATTAATATAATTATTTTCTTTATTGTTTTGCTTCACAATCTCTTTTATTTCTTTGCTTGTTTTCTTGTTAAATGTAATTTAACTTTCTCTAATTTTGGATGTAACCAAATGCAAACCCATATTTAATCCCCTTAATATATTATCTGGAGCATGTTCATCATTTTGAGTTTAACTCTATTGAGATTGTAAATGGTAGCAACTCGTCTATAATTCACCTAATTGCTGACTCACTTCCTGAACAACCTTTTTCTGAATGTTGAATTCTTCGTTGGCACTTAGTTCTTTGTCTTCTGTGTAAAGCTATTTATCTATGGAATCTAAAGAACATACTTTCGAAAATTTGGCATTTTCATAAGTTGAATGCTTATTCCCTAAAGGATCCAAGATAACTATTCTAATTTTCGATTCGATTTCGACTCTTTCTCTTCTAGAAGTTTTCTTTTCACTTCTCCCCTCCAATTCATAAGTAAGTAAAATGGCTTTGCATGTGCAGGGTTTAGTTTGATATATCTATGCTACCTAGGTCTGATTCAAATTGCTACTTCTGAGAGTGGGATCTTCTCTACAGTTAGAGCATGTAAAATTTGGGCACGTAATTCTGAAGAAATTTTGTTATATGGGCGCTTAGTCCTTGCAGTATCGTCAGTTGTCTATAGAGATTAGATGACAGCTCCTTTTAGATCCTATTCCATTATGTTTATTTAATAAATGTGAATAGATGGAGAGATTTTGGAATCAACTAATTTCTTCAGAACATCTATGGACCCCCTTTTAAGAATAAAAAAAATATTCTTGTGGTATAAATGTTTTCAAATTAATAAAATTTAAGGATTTATCATTTTATCAATATTTTTCATAATTTGTTTTTTTTCTGTCCTCTTGTGCTAATGTAAGATAACCGAGATTAATTGATTTGACTCGCATAATTATTGTTATAATAACTTTGGAATCCTCGATAGTTTATAAGCCAAGGACATTTAAGGTTAAATCATTAATATTTGCACAACAAGTAGTAGTAATAAAGTTTTAGTTAATTTTTCTTTAAGTTTTAATTGTTTGTTTATTATTTTTAAACAGAATACCAATAAATTAATACTGTACCTCCATTTGGTTATTGAATAGAAATGAACAAAAGCACTTTATTAAAAAATTAATTGAAATTTAAAAATATGAAATCAAAGAAACCAGATGCTTTCTAGGGACTAACATAATGGGAGAACACATCTTAAAAACTCAAAATACAATGTTTGCTGCAAAGGTTTACTAATTGAAATCAAATATAAGACTTGAAATCTTTATATAACAATCCAATATATCTAGTTGATAGTTTAGATAACAAAATGATTAAGAGATAATTTAATAAGAAGAGCTTATACACTATAAGAAAATTATATACTCAGCTTTCTCTAAGAATTCTAATCATTGTGGCTTATAATTAGGAAGCAATCCAAAAAAGATCACGTAACTGAAATTACAAGAAGAAACTTTCAAATGCTTATGTGGAAGCAATCAAATTGACTTAATTAAATGTTGCCTTATTAAAGGGAATTAGAATCAAGTAATATAGATACAACAATCATAAGAATAGGATAATATTCTAAACTGAATCTGATAAAATAAAAGTACATATACTATATCTATTTTAGTGATTATATTACATAATTAATAGAGGAGTATTCAGATGAGAAATCTCTATTAATTTATTAAATCGAAGAGTTAAAAATATAACAATAATTAGTAGAAGAATAATTTTTTTAAACTGCTCTCTTTGCAGACTTAGTACTATAAATATGTATTTGACATCCATATTGTTTAACATAGACTATCAACTTGTCTAAGTAAGTAGTAATATAAATTAACAAGACATAATTAATGAACAAAGAACTATTAGAGAAGTTTCAGATTTAAATATAGCAATTATAATAGAAATATCAATAGAAGGTTAAAGATCTGGGATTGCAATAGGAGATAGTCAAAACTGAAGGTTAATTACAAAATAAACCAATTGAAGATGTATTATCATAAGTTGAGAACTTCTCTAAAGTGATGGAAGAATTGAGGAATAAAGAAACTAAGAATTGATTAAAATATACTATCATTAGAAGTAAACTTTATTAAATTTAAATAAAAATTGAGGTAAGTTTAAGTTGTTTATAAAATAATGATAAAACATTTGATTAAAATAATAACATAAAGTACTAACTATAATTATCTTAGTAAATCTAATCACTTATTGATGAATTAGAGTAGAATTCCAATTCATTTAATTCTGTCACAGAAACAAATAGGAACCTAAGCAAATTAGTAAATGAAACCTAGATCAATTTAATTAAATGAGAGAAACAAATATGAGATTGAAAAAAACTCTATAGATTATTATGTTATTTAGAAATTTAAACTGAAATTATTGGTAGTAGATGAAACTATCAATAATTAGAATAATAAAATGAACAATACAAAGAAATTTATTGGAAGTTTGAGAATGGAAAATAGAAAAACTATTATAAAAAGAACTGGATGTCAACAAAATGGTTGAAGAAAATATGATTATTTAAGAGAGAGAGAAATTGAGTGATTTTATAAATGTGAATTTATAAAGAAAGCAGAGAAATCAAAGATAAGATTGAAATAACTAAAATTGTAATTGTATTAGTAAATATATTCTTTCAATAATTTCGATAAGTATCTAATGGCAGTCAAAATGATTTTTCAACACCTAGAAAAATGATGGTGGATTGTTACTAGTGTAAAAAAAGAGTGAAGTAAGTAATTTTCATGAAATGTCTTCATATGTTTTGTAAACCCTGCATAGAAGATAATCAAAGGAATCACAATAGAGCTTATCCTGTATGCAGAACTAAATATTGAATCGAAGAAGTTAGATCAATTAAATTGAGTTGATGATTATAAATAATTATACAAAATATGATTTGAAAATTATTAAATAATAAGTTCCACAACATAGAATTTGCACAAAAATCATTAAATAAAAGAAAATGCAATCTCAAGAATAATAACAATGTTAATATTAATATTTGCTTCTATATTCCATTTGGGATTAACGGGTCATGAACAATGCATCTAATAACTGAATGAATTTCTTAGTTTACCGATGCCAATACAATTCATGGTGGCTCCTAAACAAGTATAAATGTCAGGAGATTGGGCTAACAAATTTGGATTTTACGATATGTGCTTGAGAGAAGAGTATCATTATTCATCGGTTATGGTAAAACAAAATCCAATTACGTTCTTTTATGGATTTTGCCATTCAAATATCTGTGAAGCAAATGATTTCAATTAACCAGATGCTCAAGAGATTATAAAGGATAAATTAGGAAAAAGCATAATTTCATAAATATCACCAGTAATCAATTATAACTTATGATCAAGATTAATCTAGGTTAAGCTAGTTATCTGTTTGTTGATCCAGTAACACATTATCCAGATTTTAGTGTTGGTGCCTATTTAACAGTCATTATCATTTTCATTCTTTTTTGTTTGGGATTGATGGATCCTTATAAAAGATTACTATATGCCTTAACTGATTCTGAAATAAAAAAACCAAAGGGAATAATAGGCGATTTTTCTTTAATTGAAAATTATAATAAATTGATGAATCTAAAAACCATTGATCCGAATTTGGCTATTTTTAATGGAGTTAGAGCTATAGCATTTATGATGGTTGTTTATGGACATTCATCATTATTAATAATTTAAGCAACTTTTCAAACTGAATTATTATTAGCATTGTAATCTTAAAGAGCAATAATTACAGTGGACATGTTGTATTCAGTAGACATATTTTTTTGGCTTGGTGGATTTTTTTTGGCATTTGTTATGTGTGAGACAAAAAGAGCAAAATCATTGGCTAAGAACCCAGCATCAATATTCCTCGTTGTATTACACAGATTATTAAGAATTTGGCCTTGCTATCTCATTTGTATTATGATTAACTCATACATATTACCCTATTTAGGGGAAGGACCAAGATGGTGGTCAGCAATGAATTATACCGCTTGTACCGCAGGGGCTTTTAGAAATCTTCTATTTATTGATAATTTTTTTCATGATTGGGAAATTTGTTTTGGATGGGGTTGGTATCTCACTTCAGATATCTAATTATTTATTATCTGTTTGATTCCAATGACTTGCTATGCTCTTGGCTATAAAAGAATTTCAAAATATTTGATCACTGGTATGATAATCTCCTCTGTAATTTATGGTATTGTTTTATGCTTCCACTATAATTTCCTAATCCCTGCAAAAGTTACAGGAAATTAGGATTTCTATTATCATTATTATGTAAACAGTTTAGCCAGATCACCTCCCTATTTCTTTGGATTATTAATGGGTATGCTTTATAGAGAATTTAAATAAAAAGAGGAAAACTGCTTTTTAGGATTATTGCACGAAAAAGCAAAAGATCCAAAGTTTAGATTGCTCTTTTAAATTATTTGTTATGTGATAGGATTTGGAATAATTTCTTGGTTAGTTTTTGGGTGGAAATCAGCCTACATATCTCCAGATCCTAAATATTGGCCATATTGGTTTCAACATCTTTATTGCGCACTTTGTAGATTGACTTTTGTTTTTGGAGTTGCATGCTTATGTCTTCCAAATATGATAGGAATTTATGATATGTAATTACTCATTTATATGTTTAGATTTAACAGGAAAGCTATGAACAATACTATTTTTAAATTTGCTGCAAAAATATCTTTTGCTTGCTATCTAATTCATTACATGGTATTATTAATACTGAATTACACTTTTTACATTACCCCCACTTACATTACATAAGAAGTTATTTAATTATTTGTTGGCTGCACTGTCATCACAATGGTTGCTGGAGTATTTCTAACATTATTAGTGGAAATGCCATTTGGAACACTTCAAGTCAAGTTAATAGATTCAATAACAAAGCCAAGAAAGAAATAATAATAAGCTCTTTTGGAACAATGACAATATAATATATTTATATAAATAATAGTTATCAAAATTAAATTTGATGATCCTTTTAATACTCAATTTAGCAATCACCATTTCTTATGCAGCTGATAATTCATCGGTCTGCATAGAAAACTTAAAATAGTTGATTGCATAGCCAGTTGATGAACAACTTGAAACAATACGACCTTATTATTCTTTATCAGGAGATTGGATTGGGAAGTTTGGATATTATGATAGGTGTTATCGAAATGACTACTCCTATACTTCAGTTGAAATTGATTAACAACTCTTCAAATAATATTATGGATTTTGTCATTCCAATATATGTTCAGCTAAAGATTTTAATTCCAAAGATGGATAAGAAACTATTAAAAAAATATTAAATGAAAGTGGAATTGCTTCTCTATTCAAAGTAAATACTGTATTTCAATATAGATAAATCCAGATACAATATAATTAAACTTCTATGATCCTAAATCTTATATTCCAAATCCTAGTTGGGAAACATATGTTACATCTGGAATTATAATTGTCTTATTTATTCTTGTTACTATCGATCCTATGTTAAGATTTATAGCTGCCTGTAAAAGCAAGCATACGCCAGATGTTAGAGATCAAAGAACTTCTAGTCGTACCAGTCCTTTAGGATTAAGAGAAGGCTTATAGGAGAAAGATCAATATTAACCAACATCTATAATTAAAGATTTCTCAATAATTGTGAACTACAATAAAATAATCAATCTCAAAACAATAGATCCAAACCTTGCTATTTTTAATGGAATCAGAGCTCTTTCATTTATGATGGTTGCTTATGGACATGTAAACGAAATGACTGCAACTTCCACTTATGTTGGTGAAGTTAACATTTAATATAAATCCTGGGTTATTATAATTCTATATGATATGATGTATGCAGTCGATATATTTTTTTGGGTTGGAGGATTCTTTCTAGGCTATGTCATGTGTGAAGAAAGAAAGGCTTAAGCTCTAAGTCAAAAACCGCAATCTATTATATTAAGTATCACTCATAGATTAATGAGAATATGGCCTTGTTATTTATTATGCATTGCCATCAACTCATATATAATTCCATATTTAGGAAGTGGGCCTCGATGGTTTTTGGAAGAAAGAGCAACCTAATGTCCTGGAGGAGCATGGAAAAATGCACTATTTATAGATAATTTTTATGAGGATTGGCTCATTTGTTTTGGTTGGGGTTGGTATTTAACATGTGATTTCTAATTATTTTTAACATGTTTAATACCAATTTTAATTTATTGTTTTGATTACAAAGTTTTTTCCAAAATTCTTATAATTTTAATGATAATTGGAACTTTAGGATGGACTTATTATCTAAGTGTTCATTTTGATTTTTTAATACCAGGTAGGAATACTTACAATCCAGATTATTATTACAAATTTTATGTTAGTTCATATGCCAGAGCCCCTCCTTATTTTTTAGGGTTGCTAATTGGAATACTTTATAGGGAGTTCAAGCAATCAAAGAAGAGTGGAAAAATAACATACTTACATTAATTTAGAGATTATGCATAAAGTAGTGGATAAAAACTGATAATGCAATTGTGTTGTTATGGATTGGGATTCGGTATAATAGGATATCTCTTTTTTGGGTGGAAGAAGGAATTTAATACAATATAGATGAGTTGGCCAAAATGGTTCCAACATATTTATCATGCACTTTGCAGATTTCTATTTTCTTTTGGATTGACACTCGTAGTATTACCAAATTTGATTGGAGCATATGATATGTATAAATAATATACTATACTAGATTTAATTCGAAATTTATGAATAACACCTTATTTAAGTTGATGGCAAAACTCTCCTTTACTATGTATCTTGTACATTTGATGATAATTGTTATTTTGACAGAGACCTTTTATGAAACTCCGGCCTTTGCCTAAATAGACATGATTACTTGTTTTGTTTGTGCAGTAGTGTTATCCATGACTTTTGGATTGTTATTGTCTTTATTAGTTGAATTACCTTTTGGAAATCTAGATACGCGAATAATAAAAATAGTTACTAGACCAAAAAGAAAAGTAGACACTCTTTTAGATTGATTTTTAAATATATATATTACATATGTGTGATCATGAAAATTATTGAATTCTTTTTTAGGAAATGAAATTGTAAAAGATCCAAGTTCGATATATAATTTGTGATTATGTATAAAATTCATCATACTTTTGATATTTTCTATATTTCATCATTATAAAAAATTCTTTAAGACTAATATCTTTATAGATATATCTCATTTAAATATGGAAATTACCCTTTAATTTTTTGAACTATTAAGAAGTATAATTAGAACTTATACTTAATTCATTTAAGCTGTTAAAGAAAATAACTCTCTTTTAGGAATGTAGATTAACATTATTAAAGCAACTAGGGTTCAATTGAGTCGTTAGGAAAGTATTTTGAATTTCATATTTTAACTTCTAAAATTTTGAACTTANCTAATGTCCTGGAGGAGCATGGAAAAATGCACTATTTATAGATAATTTTTATGAGGATTGGCTCATTTGTTTTGGTTGGGGTTGGTATTTAACATGTGATTTCTAATTATTTTTAACATGTTTAATACCAATTTTAATTTATTGTTTTGATTACAAAGTTTTTTCCAAAATTCTTATAATTTTAATGATAATTGGAACTTTAGGATGGACTTATTATCTAAGTGTTCATTTTGATTTTTTAATACCAGGTAGGAATACTTACAATCCAGATTATTATTACAAATTTTATGTTAGTTCATATGCCAGAGCCCCTCCTTATTTTTTAGGGTTGCTAATTGGAATACTTTATAGGGAGTTCAAGCAATCAAAGAAGAGTGGAAAAATAACATACTTACATTAATTTAGAGATTATGCATAAAGTAGTGGATAAAAACTGATAATGCAATTGTGTTGTTATGGATTGGGATTCGGTATAATAGGATATCTCTTTTTTGGGTGGAAGAAGGAATTTAATACAATATAGATGAGTTGGCCAAAATGGTTCCAACATATTTATCATGCACTTTGCAGATTTCTATTTTCTTTTGGATTGACACTCGTAGTATTACCAAATTTGATTGGAGCATATGATATGTATAAATAATATACTATACTAGATTTAATTCGAAATTTATGAATAACACCTTATTTAAGTTGATGGCAAAACTCTCCTTTACTATGTATCTTGTACATTTGATGATAATTGTTATTTTGACAGAGACCTTTTATGAAACTCCGGCCTTTGCCTAAATAGACATGATTACTTGTTTTGTTTGTGCAGTAGTGTTATCCATGACTTTTGGATTGTTATTGTCTTTATTAGTTGAATTACCTTTTGGAAATCTAGATACGCGAATAATAAAAATAGTTACTAGACCAAAAAGAAAAGTAGACACTCTTTTAGATTGATTTTTAAATATATATATTACATATGTGTGATCATGAAAATTATTGAATTCTTTTTTAGGAAATGAAATTGTAAAAGATCCAAGTTCGATATATAATTTGTGATTATGTATAAAATTCATCATACTTTTGATATTTTCTATATTTCATCATTATAAAAAATTCTTTAAGACTAATATCTTTATAGATATATCTCATTTAAATATGGAAATTACCCTTTAATTTTTTGAACTATTAAGAAGTATAATTAGAACTTATACTTAATTCATTTAAGCTGTTAAAGAAAATAACTCTCTTTTAGGAATGTAGATTAACATTATTAAAGCAACTAGGGTTCAATTGAGTCGTTAGGAAAGTATTTTGAATTTCATATTTTAACTTCTAAAATTTTGAACTTATAGTTGAGTGCTGTCTCTTTACTTTGATATACATAATTCTAGTGTACATTATTGTATAGTAGAGAATATTAATTTATAACTTAAATACCTATTGTGAAATTGATTGTCCAAAAAACGGAACTTGTTTATATATACTTAGACTTTATTATTTATTATTATTTATTTTCAAATGAAGAAGTTGTAAGTTTACTTCTTTTTAATATTGATGATTGCCATGACATGTAATATTTGCTAAATAAAATTAGTTTAAGAACAAATTAAACTTGGAAGCTATGTTTAGATTCATGATCTAGAAAAATTGAATTCTTTAGAGTTCAGCGACTTAGATTGTGAAAAAGATTTACTTAAGTTGCAGCAATCATTACATACTTGGATGGATATATTCAAAAATTAAAATGATTTAGAGGATGATGTGAATAATCTATCAGCATTAAAACTCGTTATTACAAATATCAAAAACAATCAGAATCCCGAATCGCCAAGTATATAATACTTACTAATATAGCACTGTTCCAATACAAATAATCCTATGTTGAACTCGTAGATTCAATGGGTTCAAGTGATCAAACACCATTTTATTAATGGAGACTAGAAGGACCATAAAAATTAATATAATCCATTAACTTCATAGAGCAAGCTCAATCATTTTAAGATGTCCTTGAATATTGCACTGAAATCGAGTAAATGATCAATCTTCTTATAAATGAGAGAGAAGAAATAAAATAAGAACTCAACTCATAACAAGTAACAAATCTTCATTTCAGTCTAGATGATTGTGCAAAAACTGGATCAGAAGTCATAGGAGGTTCAAGAAGCACTTGAATAATGCAAATTGCAAAAATAACAATAAACAATCAAATAGCCATAACCATAAGTCAAAGAATAAATAATTGAAGATAATAGATAAATACATGAATCATCTGTTGATCAAGAAAAACCAGTCTTTGAAAACACTATAGAAAAAGAACAAGAATTCGTAGAATATGGATTTGGATATTGGTTAAGATTTTTGACTCTTTATCCAAAAAGATTAGAAAATAAGGATATACCTTGGTATTTCTTAAGCAGATTAACTTCTAATAAAAATTATTAAAATATCGCAATGAATGATAGACTATTGGCATTATGGTTAGGTTAGGGATTCTATCATTTTACAACATGCGATGAATTGTAAAATTAACCCAATATCATTTAAAATGTAAATCATCATGAGGATATAGATGGATAATGGACTTATATTTATTATTCATATAGTTCAAGTACAAAATAAGCTATTGGAATAATCCAATTTGGATAAGAATAACCATAATAAATTACTCATAATGTTCTACATACAAAGACTAAATACTTGAGATTTTTAGTTGGTGGAAAGGATAATAATCAATATCCTGGATTTAATGGTTAGTTTTCATCAATATTCCTATCAACTAACCCTGGGGTCTTTGTTCCTACTCTTAATAAATTTATTGATTAATTTAAAACAGTCAAAATGCCTGCATCAGACTTTGAATCTATATTTAGAGTTTAATTGATAGATGAAGAAATTAATAGAAATCCCTCACTTGAAGGAGATTACATGGCAGTAGGAGGAGGATCGAAGAAATTTCCTCTTGAATATTCTATTAGTGGTTGGTTCAAATGGGAGGAGATTGTTTAATAAGTATGGCATTCAGTCTTTAGAGTACAAATCAACAAACCATCTACTGATAAGTTTCTTGGAGACAGAACATTGTGTATGTTCATAGGAACGGCATAAGGAGGAATATTTCATTTTCCTACATATTCATACTAAAATATGAAGGGAGAAGGCACTTCTAATTTAGTCAATAACATTCCTCACAAAAACAAACATCTAGACTGGTTTTTCGTGTACTTTGGCTATTCTAAGAAATTAAAAAAGGCATTTGTATAAGTTAGATTGTCATCTGGAATTGAAACCCTAGAATACAATGATGTTAATCATTATTATACCCCTCAATTTCATACTTACGTTGGTAAAGATGAACACTTTCCAGGATTTAATGGTAAAATTGCATATGTAAACTTTGTTCTTGGATCAGGATCTTATAGAAATAAACCAGATTTCATAATTAAAGATGATTTATTTGGATATGATGTTGGAAATACAAAACTTATCAAAAAAGTTGAAAAGTAAATTGACGATTAAACTACAGTTGATGAACAAGATTGTGAAACTCTAAAATAACCTGAAGAAATAAAACCAGCACTTTAAGACGTCGAAGATAGAGAAGTATCTATTGAATCTGCAGAACCTGTATTTGAAAAAGAATACGAGGAGTCTCCATAAATTTATGGGTATGGTTTCTGGCTTAGGTTTATGCATGCTTATCCTAAAAGACTTTTATAAGGTAGAACTGCACCTTGGTATTTCATTTCTCGATTGACTTCAAATAGAAAATATGATAATGTGTAAATGGGGGATAGATTACTGGCCATATGGTTAGGATAATCATTTTATCATTTCACTACGTGTGACACTCAAAAGAATTAAGCCAATATTATTTCAAATATTGATTATCCCAAAGATATTGAAGGAGTTTGGACATATATCCATTACTCTTATAACAAATAAAGTTAGACTGCAAATTCATTTATAAGTTACTCAAAATCTGATATTTAATATTCAAGTGTCTAAGTTTAACATCCTGATATCAAGTATTTGAAATTCATTTTCGGAGGCAATGATCAAAAAAGATATCCAGGATTCAATGGGTTCATATCAAAAATTATGATCACAATTTCAAAGGATAACTATATTGAAAATAAAGATGAATTTACAGCCTTTGTATCTAAATTAGAGTAACCTAAAGTTGATCTTACAGATTTAATTGCTTATTAATTGATTGAAAATGAAACATAACGATAAGACTCTGATGAATCTATCAATTAAACTTTAAATGATAAAAACTAGAGATTCCCTAATGAATACTCATTGAGTGGCTGGTTTAAATGGACTGGACCTTAGAGATCAGCTTGGCACAATATCTTTAGAGTCTAAATCCAAACTCCTTCAACAGATATCTATTTGGGAGATAGGACTTTATGTATGTGGCTTGGTTCCATAGAAGGAGGAGTGTTACATTTTCCAACTTACTCATACGATGTCAACAATCCCTAAGGCAATCCAAATTATTATCAAAATATTAAACACAATCAAAGACATTTGGAATGGTTCTATGTTTACTTTGGGTATTAGAAAACAACAAAATTATCATATATTTAAGTGGCTTGGCCTACAGAAACATAGGATTTATTGTATACAGATATTAACCATTATTTGACTCCTTCCTTTTATATATTTGTTGGAAAAGATAAATTCTATCCAGGACTATCAGGAAAGTTAGCTTAAGTTTACTTTAACCTCGGAAATGGATCTTTTAAAACTAAAGAAGAAGTCCCAGATACAGTAGAATCATACTTGAAAGGTAGTCAAGTAATAAAACCTCAGATTCCTATCCCTTAGAAAAAACAATAATAAACTATCTAAGAAATTAAAAAATCTGAATTATAACCATAATAATAACCTACAGTTAAAGATGTTCGTCAGCCTGAATAATAATAATGGGATATTTAAGGTCCAGTTCCGTTTGATAATTTAAATAACAATAATGTTGAAGCATATTCAGATACTCCTGAATTGAATTCTAGCAAGTCTGATGACAAAATTAAGTAGCCAGATTGTTAAGAATAGATACAGGATTAAGATACTCCTCTTGTTCAACAAATTTCAAAAAAATAGGATGACATTATTATCAAATAGAAAGAATAAAATGAATAAATTTTTGATAATTCTGTAAAAGAGAAAAAAGATGTCACTGTAAATGAGTAAAGTAAAATAGCTAATCAAGAAATTGAAGAAGTTAATAAAAGAATTAGTACAACAGATGAAAAAAATCAATCAACAAATGACAATACTAATTTAACAAATGATGTAATATCAACTCCAAACAGAGAAAAGCAATAAACTAATGAAACAATTTAACAAAACAACAAAGTTGATTAATAAACGGATTAGACTATTCAATAAAATAATAAAGTTATTAAATAAACAGATGATGCAATTTAACAAAGTAATTAGACTAGTTAATAAAGTGATGAGACAATATAAAAGACTAATAAATCTACACAATAAACAGATCAAATTATTTAATAAAATAATAACTCCATTCAATAGACAGATAAAATAATTGAATAAAGTAATAAATCAAATTAGTAAACAAATGAGACATCAGAATAAAATACTAATGCAGTTTAGTAAACTAATGAAACAATTTAATCAAATAATAAATCAAATTAGTAAACAAATGAGACCATTTAATAAAATAATAAAGTAACAACTTAATAGAGTAATAAAACAACCCAGTAAACAAATGAAATAAATGATATGAATAATTAAATAGATAAGTAAACTGTCGAAACATCATAATAGAAAAATAAAGTAGTTTAGTAAACTAACGAAACAACACAATAGAATAACAAAGTAGTTTAGTAATCTATTGAGACTACTTAACAAAACAATAAAACAGTTTAGTAAACAAATGAGAATACTTAATAAAGCAATAAAACAGTTTAGTAAATAAATGAGACTACTTAATAAAGTAATTAAACAGTTTAGCAAACTAATGAAAATATTTAATAAACAAATGAAAGTACTTAATCTTCAAAATAATCCAATTAATAAACTTAGCAAGTTGATTAATTAACCTAATAAATTGATACTGTAACTTAAGAGTCTAAATAAACAACAAAAGTAACCAATTAATCTTCTTAATAAATCAATGAGACTACCTAAAAAATAAATGAAACATCAAATGAATAAGTTAACAAAGTTGGATAAAATACTGAATAAACAAATAAATAAGAAAGTATCCCTGCAGAACCAGAATTACCTGATTATAAGATAATTGATCATAAAAATGATGATATTAGTGATTAATAAACAATGGATATGCCTGTTTAAGAAGGCGATCTATGTGTATAAAATCAGGATGAAGAATTCGAGAAAGTTTAAGAAATTAAGATTATTCCTGGGTAAACTTATGAAGATTAAATATCCAATGATATAGAAGGAAAAAATCCAATAGTTGACTAGGGAATAACAGTTGCCAATAATTACCAAGAGTATGGTTATGGATATTGGATGAGATTCTTAACATATTATCCAAAAGAACTAATTAAAGGGAAAGATGCTCCTTGGTATTTCATAAGTAGGTTGACAAAAAACAAAAATTATGAAAATATTAATATGGGTGACAGAGTATTGGCAATATGGCAAGGAGCAGGGTTTTACTAATTCACAACATATGATATTAATGGATTGAAACCTAATGTTTTATTAAATGTTGATTACCCTAATGATATTGAAGGTGTTTGGACATACATTTATTATTCTTACAGTACAGAATAAGAATAAGCAGTTGGCCATATTAAATTTGGAAATGATAAATTCACAACAATAAAATAAAATGTAAAGCATTCTCCAACTGTTTACTTAAGATTTATTTTAGGCGGAAATGATTAAAATAGGTTTCCAAGTTTTAATGGAATATTTACCAAGATTACTTTTGGTATTAGAACAGGAACATTTCTATTAACATCAGAGTAGTTAATAATGAAATTGAATATTTATGATGTTCCTTAGTAATCTGTGGAGGAAGTGCAGAGTGTTAGAATAGTAGAAAATGAGGAGACACGTTCTTCAGAGAATTTATATTAGTATAAAGTAATTAGGAACAAGAAAGTTAAGTTCCCTAGAGAGTATGCATTGAGTGGATGGTTCAAATGGTCAACATTGTTGGAAAAGGAGTGGCATAACTTATTCAGAATTTAGATAAGAAAGGAGTCTACAGATAGTTTTTTGGGAGATAGAACATTATCATGTTGGATTGGAAAGACTTAAGGAGGAGTGTATCAATTCCCAACTTACACTTATACCAATATGATTGCCAATGGTAATGCAAATTTATATAAAAATCTCAATTTAAAGGATAGACATACAAAATGGCATTTCATCTATTTTGGATATTCAAAGATCAAGAGTTAAGCCAATGTCTATGTGAAATGGTAGGAGGATGAGGATTAATTGATCTACGATAATGTGAATCATTACTATGTCCAAACATTATTTGCTTATGTTGGAAAGGATAAGTTTTATTCTGGATTGAATGGTAAAATGGCATATGTAGTAGTGAATTTCGGATTTGGTGCGTATAAGAATCAGAAACAATTTGATGAAGAAATTTTCAACCTCAAACTTGGATTGAAGGAATTAGTTAAGAGTACGGAGGAATAGTAATTTTAACCAGTGATAAAATAAGAGAAGATAGAGTCAAGTGGTTTTGATTCAGATAAGGCTAGCTTTGAATAAGAAGAAAGTGGTGAGAAGCCATTTAAGTAATATGGTTATGGATATTGGATGAGGTTTTTGACTCTCTATCCAAAATAATTGCTGGGTGGAAAATCAGCGCCTTGGTATTTTGTTTCAAGAATGACATGGAATCAAAATTATAACGATATTAATATGGGTGATAGAGCATTAGCTGTTTTCTTAGGAAAAGGGTTCTACTAATTTTCAACTTGTAATTTGATAACTAAGAACCCAAATCAAGAGTAAAGAATAGATCATCCAGAAAATATAGAAGGTCTTTGGACATTCGTTTATTATTCTTATAATAAAGAGTTAGGAAAGGCTGTTGGATTCATAAGATTTGGATATGATAAATTTTAATAGGTTTAGCACACTGGAGTTACACATTAGGATACAAGATTTATAAAATTGATTGTAGGTGGAAATGATAAGAAAAGATATCTTGGGTTTAATGGTCAATTTTCTAAGATCTCATTCTCAACTCGGGATGGATCATATATAGATTAGGAGAAGATTTTGAAATCTTATACGTTAGAGAGAAAAGTCTAAAAAATTGCTACAATGAATGTATTGGGAGATTAGTTTTAGAGGAAAGCAGATGAGGAAGGAGTGTTTGCTTAAAGTGACAAGGTTGATTTACCAACAGAATATGCTATCAGTGGTTGGTTCAAGTGGGTATTAGCAGATAAATAGGAGGATTTGCATAGCATGTTTAAAGTTACAATAAGAAATCCTTCAGATGATCAATTAGGAGATAAAACTTTAGTGGGATATGTTGGAAAGAACGATTTATAGTTCTCAACTTATAGTTTTGACAACATGGAAGGAAATGGTAAAAAGGATATTCAAAGGAAGATTGAACATAAGAATAGACATTAAAGATGGTTCTTTGTCTATTTTGGATATTAATAAGAGAAATCAACTTGCCATGTCCATGTTTAATGGTAGGATGAAATGTCATAGCAGGGATTCACTTATATTAATCACTATTTGAGTAATCAATTTTTCATTTACATTGGTAAAGAACCATTTGTGGCTGGATTTAATGGATTGATTACTTAGATTAAATTCAATATGGGTGAAGGGGCATATAAATAAAGTACTGATTATAAGGATCAAAATAATATATTTGGGTTTGATTTGTAAACTATTAAGAAAGAAGTTAGAACATTTGATCTTGCAAAATTGAAAGATAAAATTATGGTAGACTCGAATAGTGATGAGGAGTCCAATTATTTGAAGGTATTTAATAAAGATGAGTTGGATGAGGTATTTGAATATGGATATGGATTTTGGCTTAGATATCTAAGGAATTATCCAAAAGTATAAATTGAAGGATTAAAAGTTGATTGGAGTTTCATCAGTAGATTGAGTAAGAATGATGTATTGCAAGATAGTACTCTTGGTGATAGAGCTTTGGCAATTTGGCTGGGCAAAGGATTCTATCACTTTACCACTTACAATTAATAGCTCTCTAATATCTTTACTAATGTGAATCATCCAGCTGATATTGAAGGTTTATGGACATTCATTCATTACTCACACAATCTTAATAAGGAATAAAGTGTATCTTTTATTTAGTTTGGTAATGACAAACCGATTAGGTCTGCTATATAGAGTGTTCATGTAATTCCAACCATTTTGAAGTTCTATTTGGGTGGAAAACATTTGATTTATAAAGGATTTAATGGATAAATAAGTGGAGCTTATGTTAGTGTGAATAAAGGCATTTATATTGATAATGAGGAGAAATTGCAAGATTTATTAAAATCTAATCCTTAACCTTCTACATACAGAGTAGAATTGATTTAAAATGCATTAATGGATAAAAACACAAGATTTGAGATGAATTCAGAAGCAAAGCAATTTTAATTTGAGGATCAAAAATTTAGTGGAGAATACTCTTGGAGTGGTTGGTTCAAATGGTCTAGTGTAATTTAAAATGCATGGCATTTAGCTGTTAGATTGTCTACACTTGAAAATTATGAGAATAAAGATAGCTTGGGAGATAGAACATTATGTTTATGGGTTGGACAATAAGCTGGCGGAGTCCTTTATTTTTCTACCTATACTTATACAGACTTATATGGCTCAGGAAATGCAAACAGTGTATAGAATGTTCAGTATAAGGATGATATTGCGAAGTGGCATTTTATTTATTTTGGATATTCAAGAGTTTAATAATTGGCTTATGGCAAAGTGGAATTTGGATATAGAAAAGAAGAAGTCAAATTTGAGAATCATCATCATTATTTACCTAACAAATTCTTTTTGTCAGTAGGCAGAGACAAATGGCATGATCCTTATTTGGGTAACATAGCCTTTTTAAGATTCTAATCAGGAGAAGGAGCATTTCATTAGGGAGAATTCAAGGAGATTAACAATGACTTATTTGCTAACAAATTGGGATCAATGGAATTATTGAAATCTAAATTGAAATTTGATATTGATAAGGATGCTATCACTAAGATGTTTGCATCTCCATAGGTAGATTAGAAGGAACCAATATTCTCTAAGATTTTTAATGAGGAGGAATTGGACAATGTGTCTGAATATGGTTATGGATTTTGGAGCAGATTTCTCACCAGGTATCCAACTCAATTAGTTGAGGGATTAAAAGCAGATTGGTCATTCATTTCAAGATTAACCAAAAACTAAAATAAAGGGGATATGAATTATGGAGATAGAACTTTGGCTATTTGGTTAGGAAAAGGCTTCTATCATTTCACAACATATTCTCATAAATACGCTAATGTAGTTCATAACATTGATCATCCAGTAGACATTGAAGGATTATGGACATTTATTTATTTCTCACATAATCTATACAAAAAAGAAAGTGTAGCTATGATTAAATTTGGAGAAGGCAAAGTGATAAAAGGAGTTATTCCAGCTATTCATCAGAGCCCAACCTTTTTACAATTATACATAGGAGGTAATAATATGAAGTATGCCGCCTATAATGGGCAATTTGCCGGAATATTGTTTTCGATTGGGGAAGGAATCTTCTTATAAAGTGAGACAGATTTGGAAAAATTGTTAGATAAATTGAAAAAACCAAATGATTATAGTTTGAAATTATAGACTAGAGATATGATTGCAAAGCCTAAGTAGTCTTTTGTTGCTTAAGAAACAGTATTTGATGATGTTCCATTGGTTGGACAATACTCATGGAGTGGTTGGTTTAAATGGAAATAAATGGGATAATAGTTTCCATGGTATCTTATGGTTAGACTGGCGATAATTAGAAATACAAGTGATATGAAATTATTAGGAGATAGAACTTTAACGGCATTCATGGGTCAAGGTTACATTCACTTTACAACCTACACTTATAAAAATATATATGGTGAGGGTACTCCAAATATTTGGTAGAACATTAATCATGATGGAGAACATATATAATGGCATTTTGTGTACTTTGGGTATTCGAGAGCATAAAGATTGGCTTATGCTAGAGTTGACTTTGATGGTGGGATTGAGTCTGTGTCATTCAAAGAAACTAACCATTTTGTTCCCAATGTTTTTGCTTTGACAATTGGAAAAGATAAATGGTTCAATTAATATAATGGAGACATTGGATATTTTAGATTTAATGCAGGAGAAGGTGCATTCCAAACTGAAAATTATGACAAAGTGTAAAATGATATCTTTGCATTCAAAATTGGAAGACTATATACAGTAAATCCTAATAAACCACCTCCAGAAGAACTGAGAAAACAAGAGTAATTTGACAATTCTTTGGAAGGGTAAACAGTCTATTCATTTGAAATATCAAAGGATATTTATGAATAATCGATATCTTCCCATGTACCTGAAATTATAGGAGCAGAAGGAGAAATTATTAAGAATACTGAGTAGATTGAGGAAGAGTAAAAAATACTTTAGAAAAAGGAAGAAGAATTGAAGAAAGAAGCTGAAAAGTTCAAGGATGAAAAGTCAGTCGGAATAAAAGATGGTCATTATCAATTTCCTGATTAAGATTAGAAAAAAGTTGTATCAGATGAATCAGTTGATATTGTTAAACCTATCCAAGAGTAACCGAAGAAAGATGGAGAATAACCAAAATAATAAGAATAATAACAATAATAATAATAAAAATAATCAGATTGGGATGGATTAAGATTCTACGGGTATGGATTCTATTTGAGATATCTTACAATGTATCCAGAATAATTAAGAGATGGTAAATTTGCCCCATTTTATTTCGTATCTAGACTAACTTGGAATCCTTAACCATAAGATGTTGGTATGGGGGATAGAGTGCTAGCCATCTTTTAAGGATAAGGATCATATAGTTTCCATACTCTAGACAGGCCATCCAATAATCCTAATTTAAGAACTGTTATTCCTTATGCTGATATTGAAGGAGTTTGGACCTTTGTTTATTTCAGCTATTCACAAGTAGATAAGAAGGCCATAGCATTTATCAAGTATGACAACAACGCTGAACTATACAGAAGAGATATCATTTGTAATCATGGAGACGTTGAGTATTTGAAATTGATGATTGGAGGAAAGTAAGGTATTTATTAAGGATTCAATGGTTAAATTGCCAATTACGCTTTTAAGTATGGTAAAGCAGCGTATGTAAATAATTTTGAGTTGTTCAAGAGGACTCTATCAAATAGAATACCCCATCCGATTGCTGATGATTACAAGTTTAATCAAATTAAAATTATTGAGGGTTCATCAGGGTTCAAAGGAGATGAATAGACTGACAGTATTTAAGAAATAGAAAGCCACTTCTAAAATGAATATGCAATAAGTGGGTGGTTAAGATGGGATTAACCTATTGGGGCACCCTTCTTCGCAATATTTAGGTTGAGTGGATTCAAAGTAGAGGATAACAACGATTCCAAATTAGGTGATAGGGACATGATGCTATTCAAACACACCTCATATTACTTATTCCAATCATACAATTATCACAATTTGAATGGAGCAGGAGATTTTGCAATTAATTGGTCAGTGAACCATCAAGAGTGGGATTAATTTTGGCACTTTTTCTATATTGGTTATAAACGAGAGAGCAAGTAACTCTATTATTATATCTCATTTGTTGATGATGAATTCGATCAAGTGCATAATAACATCCATCACTTCATCGTTCATAAACATTATCTCCAATTCGGAAGAGACTACAGCAAATTCTATAGCAAACACAGAGGATTCACAGGACAAGCCACTCAGGTCTTATTGAGTTATGGTAAAGGGTCATTCCAAACTAAACCGTTTAATAATGATATCTTCATGTATATGAAAGGAGTCAAAGAATTGTTTTCATCTCTAGAATTAGTCACAAGGGAAAGTGACAGAAATAAATTGCTAGTTGCAGATGCTAATAAACAAGGCACACTAATGGATCTAGAAGTCAATGATGGAACAGACTATAACATTAGAGGATTGAATGAGTATGGTTGGGCCTTGTGGTGCAGATGGTCGAGGACCTTGAATCGACCCATTTAATTCAAAGATTATTGGTACTCTCTTGCAAGAATTGCCAACAGGAAGGGTCACCAAGATTTGGCAACTCCAGGAGATAGAACATTAGCTACTTGGATAGGCATGGGATTCTATTTGTTTAGTACTTATACCAAAGGAGTCTTACAAGTGACTGAAACCATTCCCTATGGAAGGTATGAAGGACAATGGAATCTTATTGTTTTTGCATATAGGAAGAATATGGCTAAGGCAAGTGTTCTTTTTGGACAAGATTAAACTATTGTAGAGAGAGAGTTCAAAGTAAAGCACAACTTGATTAAAGATTATTTAAGATTCGTTGTTGGTTCAGAATTCCATTATAAATTCTTTAATGGTCATTTAGTAAATATCCAACTCAGATTGGGCAGTGGAGCCTATCTAAGCAAAGAAGAAATAGTAATTATTGCTAATGGAGAATTAGGATTACCTGCAGAATCCAAATATGATTAGAGTAGAAAAACTGTTGAAATTGTAAAGGGACGAATTTCTAATTCAGGGCAAGGCAGAGAATACGAGATCAAAGAAGAAGTTGCTTAAGGGAAATTAGAATATTCAATATCTGGCTGGGCTAAATGGGTAGATATACCAAATATACAACCCTGGTACATGTTATATCGTGTCTCATACTACGATTATAATGAACTATTGAATATGGAAATACCTGGATCAAGAATCTTTTAGTGTCATAAAGCTTATGGATTCTATCATTTTAATACATATACAGTTGATTAGGAGAATGGAGGAGCATGGTATATTACGAAGAACATTGATTACGATATAACCTAACATAAAAATTGGGTCTTTTTCTATCAAGCCTATTCTCATTCTAAGCGATAGGTCCATCTCTATGTCAAATTTCCAGGATTTGAAGAACACTATACATATAACAACATAAATCATTTTATTGCTTAGAAATTTAAGGTTCATTTTCTATTGGATAGATGGAGTCCAGGTTTCAATGGTTTTCTTGACAGTTGGTACTTTAATGTAGGTTCTGGATCGTATAAAGAAAGTGGATATGGTATAGGTGAAAATGAAGAAACTACTTTTGGATTTGGATTGCATAAACCAGCTGAACCAAAGAATTGGTAATTTGATGATAATTATGCATGTGGATTTACCTAATAAAATGTAGGGTAAGAAGTGGAATATAAGGACGATCTACAAATAGACGGATTAGTTGAATATGGATATGGTATGTGGACTAGGTTTGCTTGGAATACTCCAATTAAAATCATCAGTAAACCAACATGGATGGCATTATCAAGATTGACAGTTAATCCAAATTATTAAGGAGATGCTGGTTAATTGGGAGACAGAGCTTTGGCTATATGGGTTGGACCTGGATACTATCATTTTACAACATCAACTAGAGGAAATTATAATGTAGTACATAATATCGAATATGATCAAATGTTGGATGGATAATGGAATTACATTTGGTTTGGATATAAAAGAATGAATGATAAACAAGGCAGTGCAATTGGATATGTAGCATTTGAAGGTTCATTGATAAGAAAGACAAATTTCGGTAATATTCTCCAACAACCCTTGAATGACTACTTGTATTTGGCTGTAGGAAGTTCAGGCAGATACTTTCTGGATAGGTATTATCAATTTAATGGTCACATCTAAAAGGTGTCTTTGGTGTTAGGACCTGGAGGTTACTTTGAAAATGAAGATTTATTGAGAAAGTAAATCCCATCTAAACCAGACTTTATGAGAAATCTAAAGCAATTTTCCAAGGTGGTTGTAGATGAGGTCAAAATTATGAAAAGAGAGGAATGGGTACCATAACCTGTAGAATTCAATGAAGAGTTTGATGGGGCATATGAATATTCAGTTTCATTGTGGTTTAAGTGGACTAAAACTTATAGAGTGGCATGGGAAAATGTATTCTCAGTGTCATATAATGAATAAAACATTAGGGCAAATCATGCTAAGCCTGGAGATAGAGTCTTATCTATGTTTTAATATGCAGATCACAGAATATTCTTCAGTACATATACAACTCCTGGCAATCATGATTAATTTGCTCATTTATACACTGAATGTCCAGTTGATATACCATCTCAAAATGAATGGGTTTATGGATATTATGCTTATAGTAGATACCAAAATAAGGTGATATCATATTTGCAAACCAAAACATAGAAGTGCTTAAAGTCATTGTCCTGCATGCATAGAGTACCTAAGTACATGGGATTATATGTGGGCAAAGATGGTATTCATACACCTTACAATGGCAAGTTCAGCAAATTATATTTTATGGGCAATGCAGGTTCCTACATAGATAGTAATTTCTAATCCTTTTAACCTTTTGCTGCTGGAGGTATATCAATTACAAAGCCATCCTATTTTTGGAGCGATTAAAAGGAAAGATTTGAGATTGCTTATGATTAGAATAAAGTATTTGAATTAAAACCAGAGGAGGTTGATGAATAAACATCTTATAGTATAGGTATGTGGACAAAATACTTTACCGCTATTCCAAAAAGACTGCTTCAAAAGCCAGATTGGTTACATATTGCTCGTTTAACAATTAATCCTAATCATAAAAACTATGAAAATATTGGAGACAGAACTCTGGCCATTTTTATTGGAAGATAATATTATGGATTCTTTACTTATAATGCTGCTAATAACAATCCAAATATTGTTTAAAATATTAGATATGACGATAATTTAGAAGGCGAATGGAATTTCATTTATTTCTCCTATAATTCTGAAATGCAATTGGCATCTGGTTTTGTAAAATTCAGTAAACTCGATAAAATCTAAAGAATCCAATTCAGAGACATTTAACATCGACCTATTGATAATTATGCAAAATTAGTAATAGGAAATGAGTTCTAGTATCAGGGATTCAATGGATAGATTGCCAGTCTATAATTAGGATTTGGTAAGAAATATTACGTTCATGACTCCGATGCTCTGAATAAAATCATTCTTGAATTCTTTAAAACTCCTGCTGAGGAAGAGGATGATAACAGAAAAATCAATATTGTTGACTAAATTAAAGAAAGGGTGTTTAACAATGGGCCTGATTATAAGGAAATCTTAGATTAGAAAGGTGCTGAAGAGTATGCTATGTACGGATGGTTTAGATATACAAGTACGCAATTAAAGACTCCAAATAATTGTATAATGAGATTAACTAATAATGAATAAGCATACAGGGGTGAAATAAGTAGAGTTGGAGATAGAACACTATTAGTGATGTTGTAACCAGGTGAATATGTGTTTGCAACCTATTCCCTTGGTAATATTGATAATGGATAAGTTGTGAACATCAGAAGACCAACGCCTTATAAAAGCAACCTTGGCATATGGACTTATATTTACTTTGGATATCATTTTTCAAAGAGAAAAGCATCAGGAATCATCAAGTATCCAAATAGTTATGCACTAATTCCATATGAAAATGTATTACATATGGTTCCGAACTATTTATTATTCTTTTTTGGAGGAGATGGAATGCTTGGAGGATGGCATGGGTAAATGTAAAAAGTGAATTTGTTATTTGGACGGGGGTCATTTGTAGATTGTAATAAAGGAAATTTCGAAGAAAAATTGCCAAATCTTTAAGGAGTTGAATCTAAGCCATTGATTTGGGATGGAATAGACAATAAAATGATTGAAGTGCCATTAGCAGATAGGCCAGGATTAGATATTGTGTTTAATAAGGATGTAAGTGGATTTACTGAATATGGTTATGGATTGTGGACTAGATGGCTGACTACCATTCCAAAGAGGATAATAGAGAAGGCTCCATTTCATCAATTGATCAGATTATGTAGTACGGAATAATACGAAGATGCTGCTTAATTGGGTAATAGAGCGTTGGCAATTTGGGTTGGTAAAGGCTATTATCACTTTACAACTTACAATAAGATTGGAAACAAGATTTCTATTTCTCAGAATATCAACTATGATGACAATTTAGAAGGGGAATGGAATTACATCTACTATTCATTCACTAATAAGTAATAGGCAAGAGCTGTTGGATTTGTATATTTTAGTGAACAAGCAGGTACAGCCATATCTCGAGTTGAATTTTTGAATTTAGAACATGTGCCTCTCAATGGGTATGCTAGAGTTGTGGCTGCCAATAAAGAGTTTGGGTATTAGTCATTTAATGGAATGATTGCAGATTTGCAAATTCATTTAGGAAATGGATTTATAGGATCTAGAGAGTAATTGATCAAAGAAATCATTCAACTTAATCCACGACCACCCATTGAAATCATATCTAAAATGGATGTTAATTTGATTAAGACTGAAGTTGTCATAAAGCCTGAAGAAAGGAAAGAGATGAAATACAAATATGATTAATACAAAGGTGTAAATGAATATGCAGTCTCTGGTTGGCTGTAATCTTAAGTAATGGGTTTGACAGAAGCTTATAGAAATGTATTTAGATTGAGCATCAACGCACCAGATTTCTAGAGAGATAAATAATATGCAGGAGATCGAACTCTATCATTATTCTAAAGTAAGACTAAGCTAACATTTTCAACTTACACATATGGAAAATTAGATTCATAAGGAGATGATAGCAATGAATTCAATAGAATCATTAATTCAGGAAATAGTAATGGAGAGTGGGTGTTTGTGTACTTTGGATATTAATTCAAATCGAAATAAGCCTTTGCATTTACTCTGTTCATGAATCATTAGGATAGTGCTCAATTTAATAATATAAGACATTTTGTTCCTAATTAATTCTTCTTCTCATTGAGTAATGATGGATATTATCCAATATTTGATGGTAGTTTATATGATTGGAATCTATACTTCGGTGATGGGGCATTCACTAAGAGACCAAGGTAGATAATTAATTCGTGGCCTGTAGAACCAATTGAGGAATTCGAAGGAGTGATCTCTGCACTATTATCAAATAAAGGTCTAAATTCTATGAAAGTGATAAGACCTGAGAAAAAGGAAGATGAGGAAATTGTATTTAAGAATAACTTCCCTAAGTCTGGGGCAATTTCAGGAAACCCACTACCACGTTCTGGTTAAACTTAAGTTGATTCTAAATAACCAAATAAAATAACTTAAACTCTTAAATAACCTGAATCAGGTTAAGTTAATACTTAATAATAATAATAATAATAATAATAATAACAATAATCTAGAAAACCATTATCTGGAATAGCAGATCCAAAGTGAACAATTGTATTTTAGTGCTATTCATATTTTTACATATATTATAACTAATATTAATTTAATTAATTGCATCTTATGATTCTCAATCCAGAAAATTTAGTTGAAAGTACTATTCACTTACATTCTAGTATGCAAAGATAAGTTGATTTAAATTATGGACATAAATGAAAAGAATTTGTGGGAATTACTAGTCAATAAGAATGGTTACACTGTTCATGTTATGAAAAACCCAGAAAATGGAGCCAAAATCAATAGATCTTAGGCTTTCATTAATAAATAACCAGAGTTTATAGCTTAATACGTTTCCGATTTAGAAAAAAGAAAATAAACAGATGCAAGAATAGAATATGCTAGTGTGCTTGAAGAAATCGATAAGGATTCCAAGCTATTATATATCAGAATGAAACCACCTATTCCTTTCATGAGTAGTAGAGATTTGGTGTTGTACTAAAAAATATATAGATTCGAAAATGGAATGATAATTGTATGCTGTAATTATTCTATATTTATTGCATTTAGAAAGATCTGTCGTTCATTAGAAATAGCCTCCTATTCATAATGTGGAAAGGGCAGAAATGTATTTGTTTGGATGGATTCTTACTCCTCAACAGAATGGATCCACAAAAGTTGTCCTCATCCAGTGTTTTGATATGAAGGGATAAATGCCCTAACAAATAGGAAATCAATTTACCTAACAACAAACAGATCTAATGTTGGCTGTTATTCAGAATTTATCAATATGATGAAATCACAGTCAAGATATTAATTTATTAATCATTATTTTAATTGGAGATAATTTAGATTAATTTTATCAATATATAATTATTATATAAATTGATTAAGAACTACAGAATTCTTTTTAAATTAAAAATAATTAAAATGTAAAACAATTACGATCAACTTTTAGAGGAAACCAAAACTAAAATTCTTTCTATTGTTGAATTGAAACCAGAAAATCAATGGACTTTGGATACCAATAAGGATGGTTACGTAATCTACACCAGAAACAATCCTGAAAATGGTCTAAAGATCAATAGGACAGAAACAAACGCAGCTGTAGATCCAGAGGAATTTGTAAATTTTGTAATCGACATGACTAGAAAGAAGGAGTATGATGCTAATTTTTTAGAAGTAATATAATATTTTAATACCTAATAGGGAAGATTGATAGATAAATTGGATGAAAAGACATTCATCTTTTATGCAAGGGGAAAACCTCCTACTTTCTTTATCGATGCAAGAGATTTCTGTTTGTTGAGTAGAGTTTATAAATTGGGTGACGATCATTTTATGACAATCAGTACAAACCTAAATCTAATTCATTAGCAAAATCAATTGAGCATCCTCAAGTACCACCAGTCAAAGGAGTTCAAAGAGGAGAGATAGTATTCTCAGCATGGATTGTTAAAAAATAACCTAATGGACAAACAAATATCATAATTATTGGCAATATGAATCCAAAGGGAGACATTCCTAAGGCCATAATTAATTAGGGAGCAAAATTCTAAGCAGAAGGAGTTAAGAAAGCCGTTGAATATTTGACAAAGAACAAAAAAAAATGATTTATATATAATAATAAAATTAGTAATCAATATTATATTTATCATTAAAATAATATTAAAATTAGAATGAATTACCCAATAAGTTGAGTGTACTAGTCGATTTGACTAAGAGTAACACTTAAATTTATTTCTATTTATACTCCATCTTCACACTTGTATTGATAAGGATTCCAATGACATTCATAATCTAACATCTAACAATCTTCTTCCAGAATTAAATATCTGCAAAATTTCCTACATAAATTATCTTTAGAACTCCAATAACATTTGTATGAATTCTAACATTCCTTCTCCTTATTAAAATTTTAACATAATATTGATTTACATTTTCCATCTGAATATGAGCAACCAGCTGAACATTAACAAGGATCAGTTATATCTTCACAACTCTAACACATTTCGAATTCATTCATGTAACAGGAATATTGATTGATTTCATTGCCATTACACAAACTAGGCGAGTTGCTATACAGATGACATTAATTGTTAGTACAGTAATACTTTGTTTAATAGATTTCATAAATTTCCCACGAGCACTACTTTTCATTGACTTTTGTTCTAAAACATAATGATTAATCATCAATTTCTGAACATGTTTAGATTTGCTAACATTGTCCATTCTTATAAACACAATTCGATATCTAAAAGCATTGATCTTCTTCCAAGTAATCAGAACAAATTAATGGGCGACAAGTGAAATTATCATATTTACAAGATGTATTTGAACAATCACTATTAAGACAGATCTCCTATAAATTGTTTCCACTTACACAATGGCTTTCAAGCTAAATACAATTTGATCCATTAAACATAAAATCTGAGCATCTTTTACTCTCATTTAAATTAAGAATATCTTCACACTTTTGAGCACCTTAACATTGATAAGATTAGTCTTCATAACAATATTCACCATTCATTACTCCTGAACAACTTATTAAATCAAAACATTTTTTTGGTCTGCAAATTTTAAGTTCTTGTTCATAAATGCAATTATTTTTGCATTCACTCTCATTCAAATCACAAGATGAATTTATTTATTGAATTTGGCAAGCACATTATTAAAGATCATGTAACCATTTACATTTTTGCTGAAGTTTACAATTATTAATATTCAATCCTTTGTAATTACATGGTAGTGATTATAAGGTGTATTGGCAATTTCCAACAACTGGATCATAAATGCAATGATCATTGGTATTCATTTTACATGTTAATTCATTTACATCTCTAAGATCATTGCAACTACTAACTAAAGATTTAATCTTTTAACATTAATTATTCACATATTAACAAGGTTAATTTACTAATCTTAAGCATGCTAATCTGTTCAATCCTGGTTGAGAACATTTTGCAAGTGGGTTGAATTATTATTAACAAGTTCTTTTGTTCAAGTTATAGGAACAAACATCTTAATGATAATTTAACAATTGACATGTGTAACTATTTGCAACAGTTTCATTATCACATTGATTAATATACATTTACAATTAAAAATTTTAACACTACTAAGCTTATTTATTCCAATAACAAGGCATTTTAATAATTTTGGAACAACCTATTTATGATATTCCTACAGTTGTGCATTAATCTTTAGAATAATCTACATCAATGCAAGCATTAAATTATGCGTCATATTTACAACTTAAATGAGGCAACTACTAACAAGCTTATTAGTTCACATTATTGTATTAATTGCATTTTAATTTATACTCAAAAACGTAATCAACACATTATCCATCTTTAAATGTACATTATTTATTAACTAATGATAAACAAGCCTATAATAATTGATAATATGTTTACAATTTTTGACAGTCCATATGCATTACATTAATCTGTAAATATATCAATTTACACACATGAATTAATGGATTCTAAATATTTCACTGTTGAATTCATTGATTTACAGCATATCTAAGTAACTAAAGATTAAGTAAAGTTCTGTTAATCAAAAACCCAATCTATACATTTATCATTCCTCCATGCACAAAATAGATTATGCATGATCAAGCATTATTTAAGACTTTTGTTTGAACAACTATCGTTCTTGCAATTCTCATTAGATTAACAATTTAAGCATCTATTGTCTTACCATTCACAATAGCCTATTCTGCTGCCGACACAATCCTCTTTTTCTGTAAATTAAGAGCATTCATAGATTAATCTAATTTACGTATAATTGGTCTAATCTATACTAGTTGAACCTGTAAATGAGCTTGTCAATTTCATATCGCATTTCTTATGAATTTCATCATATAAACAGGGTTCGATGGAGTATTTAGAACAAGACACTTTATTGAACTATTATTAGATATCAATAAATTACCTCAATGGGGACTTAATGGCAAGCCACAGGCTAAAAGGCCCGATCTATATTTTCACACTTACCAGTCCACTAACAATACATTGAAGTGTTCATGCAACCCCAATAGTTTACTATGTTCTCGCATGAGTATCTAGTCCTATACCATATATTACAATAGCCATCAAATTGACAGTAATCAAATTCAACATTTTAGCAAGCCTTGTAACTTAGTGTGTCAGAGCATTTTTAAGCATTTTCTAATTTTTACTCACATTTTTATAATGATGAATTGTATTAGCAACTAATAAGGGCTTATCTACAATAGGAGAGAGTAGAGAAATCGTTGCATTCATAGGAGTTATATAGATTTTCACATGCTTGATTATTCCATTTACAAATCTACTTTGGCGTTTTAATTTAATTGCAAGTCACTTAGGATATATCATCCTAACATTTCTGGGAATATAGATTTGCTTCTAAGCAGACATAACCATTCCAATAACATGTTAAACTTTAAGTGTTCTTTAAACATAAAGTTCGACTTAAGCCTAATTGATCGCATCTGAAAAATGAAATTGATAAATCCTTTGAATATTCATAACAATAATTGTTGTTCCATAACTTACCAATAGATATACAATACGATTCGCTGTATTCACATTAGCTATTTTAGCATTAATTATCCTCTTCCACACATTGAGAAGTATTTTAAATCCAAATACATTTTTGGTTCTTAGATTTTAAACACGAATTATAATTTCTATTCTCACAAGGTACATTTATAAATTCATTTATATACTTATGACATTTCTCATTTGCCCAAACACATGATAAATTGTTTTGTACTTATAAACATGCTTGTTGATTCATCTAGAGACATAAAGAAATCTATATGTAAGGTTGTGATATCTCCTTGGAGCATTCTAATTACTTAAGGTCAAAAAAGTATTAGTCCCCTTAGAGTTTGGTACACCCATAATGATTAAGGTTTTATAGATTACTCAAAGGCTCGAGTGAGCAATACTCAAAATCTGAATTTTCATTATAAAATAGATAATAATCTTGGTCCTGGAAGAGACAAAAGTAATAATCATAGATTATATCAATACCAATGATCATAGAGATCGCGTACTTTAACTTGCACATTTTAGTTTCCTCCTAATAATAGCACTCAGATGTGTTTTCAGGGTTTTACATAACAGACAAGCATAGTTGTTTATTGACATTATAATATTGAACATTCTCACATCGCAATGGTTAATTGTAGGTTTAACATTAATCGGAGCCAAAATCTTAGTAGCAATGCAATCCTGGAATGTCTTTAAAACAAAACGTATTCAAATTCTCACATTACAAAGGGAAGGTGTAACAGAAGGGTTCTCCTTTAGTAGTCATTCCAAATTTGCAATTAGATATAGATTCACAGGTTAGTATTGAAGGGTATTCTATTTGATCAAACTAGTCGCATATCAATCGCTTATTTGAAGTTCCACAAAATTAATACCAGCTATAATTGAAGTATGAACATTAAATTGCTCTTTACATTATGCAACCATAAACATCCTGACTAAATGCACTGCAGGTATATGATTATGAAAAGATCAGATCAACCATTTGACTGTTTGTTAGGAAATTCATTTTAAAGCATTCAAAGGTTGAGGCAGAATATGTACAAATAGGTTGGTATTGTCTACAAAAGTTTTATGAAACTTAGTCAAATTAATCACATTCATAGAGTTGAGTATCAAGTACAGTGAAACATCTATTCTGATGGAATACGCAGAACTTGGATCGGTGTTACAGACATTATTGAATGGTTTGAGCTTCTTCACAGTCGTAATCTTACATAACACATTGATTGTCCAGCCATTGACAATATTAAAATTGGTATCGGCATAATTCGAAACTGACAGATAACCAACAGGGCACATTACTTACGTAGGATATACATCCATTCTTTCCAACTCCACAGCTGTAATTACTTGATTAACAAATCTGCCAACTAAAAGATTCATCAAATTTTTCAGGACAATCACTAAAGTATAATTCACATGCCGAATTAAGGTTATTCCAATAGCAATTTTTAACACCTTAGAAGCAAGCATTCCTGTTCCTGTATTTACATTCTACATTTAAATCAACAAGATTTCGACAAACCTCATCAATAAATACACAGTTTTCAAATGTATACAGTAGACATAGAACTTTCGATGCTCCTATTTAATTACACTTGAATTAATCTGAACTTAGAGGTGACTTACAAGTCTTGCTTTAAACATCATAATAACAAGCATCAATAGCTTTATGACAAATTTGTGGATTATAGTATTGCATGTCGTAATTAGACAAATTCTAGCATGAGTCTGAAAATGAAAGGTACAACTATACACATTTTTTGTCCTATGCAATATGACATGTCTAACTCGGAGTCACAATTTGATTACATATCTACAGGTTACTTTGATGACATTCCAAGACTCCTAATAATTATTACTAATAATCTGAGGGTCCAATTATCAAATTACATTTATTGTTACTAAAATAACAATTTTAAGTAGTATAGGCCACACATCTATGAATATTGATCATTCTGTTGTATCCACAATCAGCATCAGAAATAGAAGATGTAGATTACACACATTGTTGATCAATGACTTCACAAAATTGATCATCTGTTAGAGTCAGGGAAAGATTGGATGCCATTTAAGTGCAAGCATTTAGATTACTTGTAAACTGATATGAATAGCAAGTTGTTTAGAATTACTATTTATACGATCTGCATTTAACTTTGGGATCGCTGGGAATTGAACCCCAGAAGCAATTCTAATTTAAAGTTGTTATGCTAATACACGTGTGATAGGAAATGAATTCAGAATCACATTTCAAAATGTCTAATGAGTTTACGGCATCCATACACCTATTCTACACATTGTCAAAATAACATTAACCTGCTGAATCGAAACAACCTTAATTGTTGATATAACTATGACAGTTGTCTTCATGGTCACTGAGAATCGAGCATCCGAATGTATTGAAATCGTATTTGCAACTAAAGTCTTGACTTGTAAATCTGCACACATTTGGACTCACTTTTTAGAATTCGTTACAGTAATATTACACTATCAGACTCACTTTCAGGGAAATGCATTTGTTCTCTTTCCATTAACAGTTTTCTTTTTCATTGGATACACACTATTCCTAATTGATGCCTGGGGTTTCACAACTAAGATCGATCAATGATGATGAGTAACAACTTGATGTATCTGGATTGTAGAGACATATCTATGACTCTTAGACTATCCCATACTTACATAAATTTGGATTGACAAACTACATTGAATCACAAGAAATAGATTTATTAGTAACATGGACACATCTTTAAAGAGAAGCATCCCATTTTGTATTAGAATTAATCAGAGCAAAACATAATTCCCTATTTATTCTCCCATTAATTCCATTATTACATGGCATATTATCAAGGTCGTAATCTTAATCTTAAAAATCAACACAAGGTAGATATAAATTGATGTTTTCACTTTTACAAGTCCTTGTAACCATGTCATAATAGTTGTATAATCCTTTTTGTGACATACACAAATTATAGTTCATTATGATAGATGAAGAGAAGGACTAATAATGAGAGAACAGGTTTTAATCCTTAACATTTAAACATTCACCAAAATTCCAAATACAAAATTAATCATAGACACTCACAGAGGAACAACAAAATATTGAATTGCAATCCTCACATCTTAATTACTCAATATACTTGACTTCCTCACATTTCTAAATACTATCATTCCAATAACAATTCATACTCATCTATTAACAATATTTTTTATTCATTCCTATTTGATTACATCCACTCTAAGGCACACAAACAATAAATTTTGATAATTTTGAATCACTTAAATTTCCCAAATTACTACCCAACCATCTGCAAAATGAATTACTCTCACAAGCAGATTTAGATGTCAAATTAGAACACTATGTCGAGCATTGTCCCTTCGATGTAGATATATCTAAATAGCAATATTATTGTGTCACAGTAGCACAATTATAGTGAGTTGCAATACCACTCAATGTCTTACACTCATCAGTCTCTAAAATCGTATCAGTATTCGCACATTAGAATTCCTATGTATAATCAACTAAACATTTAATCTCAGAACTCCTGAATCTTTAGCATACTAGACCACTCAAATCCTAACATTACAACTATTATTTATTGATATAAGACTAATCTGACAATTCATCTTATGTAGTTGGTAAGCACTCTTATTTGGCAAAGACTGTAAAAATTGGATTTGTCGGATTCACATTTAGGTATTTGCAATACACATGATTCACTCCCCTTATTGTTCCATTTAAGCTAAATAACTTCATAAACCTGTTTTCATTTAATACTTCTTAGGCTATGCAACCATATCTTTGGAAATCGTTAAGTTTGGCTAAGAAAATAATTAAATTTTACTGTCAGATATCGATAACTTTGTAGATGATGTATACCACATAAACATTCCATTCGAATCTACAAAATTATCGTTCAAAGAGGTATCTTGATAGATCCTGGATTCCGAGAATTCAACTCCTGCTTCAATTTACACTTTTATTTAGGCTTCCGATACAACATCTGGAGAGTAATCTAAGAGTGTCCATAATAGAGAATGGTGGATGATCAAGAATCCTGTTATTCTACTGCACACTGATGCACTCAATTCCAAATTTTAAAATATAGTATTGATATTGTTAAATTCTGTTTAATTTAAATACTTGCATTGTTCATCTTCCCATTTACATAATTAATCTGGATTGGTTACAGAAAGACACCCAGACTTTGATAATTTGTCAGAGCAGTTTAGAAAATATTATTCATAAATAGTGTGACAATTCTTATCAAATATACACATTGCTGTTGTACCATCTAGTTTCCCAATTTATTTGGTACATAGTTTTTCACTCAAAGTTAGATCGCATCCAAATAAATAATTGTTTGACCATTTACAAAATTACCCATTCCATTTACATTGCTCTTCTTTTACCTTAATGCACTCTTCATATGTGGTTTATTGAACACAAACACCTAAACTTTAGGCATATTCAATTAGGAAAAGAATAATTATGCTTCTCATTAAAAACATTGTTTAATACTATTATGCTAAAATATAATTGCATTAAATGCATTTGAATATAATATATATATATTATGAATAGGAATCAACTTCCTAAGAACGATTATTCAAATATATTTTTGTCTATGTATTTATCCTAATATAATTATAAATTAATAAAGTTTATTTATAATCCTAATATGTCTAATGATCACAAATATAAAGTATTATTTCTGGTATGTTTCTATTGAGCCATTTGATAATGAATCTGTAAAATGCGGAATTCAAATAAATAAATTTCTACAAAATAATGATGTTAGTCCTAGATGTCGAATAACTATGCTCAAATCAAACTCAGCCTATTGAACCAGAATAAATTTTTATAAAATATATATCTGATAGGCCTGATCATCTGAATTTCTGGAAAATGGCCAAAAAGATTCAAAAGAATGTTTGCAATCAAGAAATTTCTTCAGGATAATTGGCATTCAAATGTTCTACGTGCTTTGGTGACACTTCACATTTATTCTGTTCTTAATGCTTTAATATTGAAAGACATCAAAGTATAAATTTAATATATATCCAAGATCATAATTGTTATTATACTGCAGTTACAGGTAAATGTAACTGTGGATGTTTTGCACCTGCACAGAATTGCGAGGTTCATTAAACTTTGGAAGAAGAGAACTTAAACTAATTTGAAGTGATACCAACTGATTTAGCAGATAAGATAGAGTAATTTATTATGAAAACAAGTTCAGTTTATGATCAGGCCATGAAACAAATAGAAACGTAATGGTACAATTATAGAATGGCTATCATGTAATTGTACCATTTGTGTGAAAAGTTTAAAATCAATAAAATCTAATAAACTATAGACAAAAGGATAAATTATAGGGACTATTATAATTTGTTAGTCAAAAGTTAATGCCTTCATTACACCATATTTAATTTAATTGATTGGTTGATCAAAGACAGAGAGGTGTTTCAAAATCTGATTGCCAATGTATTCCAAAAATAATTACCAAATTGCCCCTATTCTTTATATGAAGGTCTTATCCGACATTAAACATTATAAGAAGTGACATCGCCAGAGTTACCAGTCTTTATCGGTATTGTAATAGAGAGATTGACCTCAAATTCTAATTTCTTTGAATTTATGTGCAAAGTTAATCTGAAAGTATTCTCAAGCTTCTTTTTACTTGCTAAAAATGCAGAAACAAAATCTGCTGATGCAATTTTAGATTACGTTGATTTATTGAATGAATAACAGAATAATATTGATCCTTAATATGCAAACAAGAATTAGAAAAAAATAGAGGAAGTAAATAAAAACGTTGAAACATATTTGCAAGAATTACAATAACTTAATTTTACATCTTTCAGTTACATCTCGTGTGAGCTTATTAAATGGTTTATGTCATATACTAATGAAATTGCAATGAAGACTATAGTAGACAATTTAGATTAAGTTCAAGTGTTTGAATTTTTGGAAAACGTCTACTGTTTACTCCATGTTCCATTAGGTGAGTTATTTAGTTATCCTTGGGATGGAATTAAATTCTTTGGACCAAAATTTAGAAGTATCAAATTTGACTAGTTTAATATGATTTCATTGAAAAACGCTTTAGGACCATATTATGATAAGTTTAAAACGGAGAATGCTGATTTGAATGTGATCAGAAATTTTGATTATGGAAAATGTTTATTAACTAAACTCATAGATTGCTTAGGCAAAGCCACAGTATCCAAAGTACCACATAAACCTTTTGATTACAAATTCTCTATGAATGAAGATGTTGATTTAAAAAACTATATTCACTTCGAGGGAGAATTTATTAAAGAAATAGAAAATGCAATTATTAGCTTGTTTTGTGATTCTGAGAGTACTCCATAACTGGAAATGAACTTCATTTCAGTAATCTTAGCGTAAATCTATCACTTAATTAAAAAGAAAAGAAATTGCGGAGTAAAACTAGAGACTCTCTTGGCATAAAGTTTCTCTCAATTCGTAGATTAAGAATAAGATTCTTCAATAAAATTGGCAAAAGCAAGAAAAATGTATTTATATTTCATGAAAAATGCTTCAATTTTAGATAAATTGTTTATTAAAATTCTATGTTTGCATTTGTCTCTTAAAGAATACTCAGAACCTCAACAGTTTCTTGACTTCCTATAGTCGATACTAGACGATTCAATATAAGTTATTAAATAGAATTTTTAATAAATTTTATAAAGATGTATCTAGAAATTCTTTACTGTTTGGATAATGGTTGATGATAAAGTAGATTAAATGTATTATGGTATAAAAGAAAACAATTAGAGAACTAAACTAGAGTCCTTAGATACTGCTTTTGGAAAACTTTATATGTATTTATTTGGTGAAGAAGGCATGTTAGATATTTATAGGGCTATAAACAATATGCTCATCCCAGAGATTTAGACGCAGTGCTCCATCACCTAGTAATAAATTATTAAATTTTAGTTTTTATCTGCTGAGGATGATTACTTCTGACCTTGATATTTATAACTCATCCATATTTTACTTTTCAAAATAAGAACAACTCCCTACGATTCTTCATCAAGCACTCTAAAAAATACTTCAAAATATTATGAACCTAGAAGGATAGACCACATTCTAAACTCTCCAACTGAGATTTGAAGAATTGGGAATCATCTTCCCAACAAAAAAGAGTCTTCTTTCCAATTTCTTAGAATTAGACGAAAACACTAAATTGCTTAAGCTGAAGAGTCAGTATCCTCCTCTCTATGATCCAGTTATTTTTGCTTCAAATATAGAATTAAAACAAACAGCTATGCAAACATTATATCAAAGTGGCATAGAAAGTAAGACTCTGCTCTTTGGAAATGGATTATTTTAGGACATAAAATAATACAATTAAAAAAATTAGTATTTAATCTAAAAGAACATACTCAATCGTTTGTCCTCAAAATAGAATTTAATTGACAATCTACAATTTTTATCCAAATACCAGAACAGTGAAGCCGAAACTGTCATTTTTATATAAAATTTAATGTTAGGAGCCTCATATTTTAGAATTGAAGAACTAAAAGGCAACAAAATACTTATTCTTTAGCTCTTACACAAATTACATCAAGATTCAGAGTCTGAATCCAATAAATTAGCGTATGCTTGTTTGATCGAGCAATCCACAAAATTCTCATTTTTACAAGACGATCTGTCATTAATAAAAATCTAAGCTAAACCAGACCAATCTTAAATGTAATAAAATGCGGTTATAAATACAATCTAACATACCAATTTATAATCATGTGATGGTTGCAAACTCTAATTATAATTTAAATTTTATACTCCACTTTTATTGTTTAAGAAGAGCAATTATGAACATTTGTCTATGCCTGAAACATTGATCTCGTAATTGAATAATCAGGATCATAATTTACTTCAAATAAGTGTAAATGGATGTTCACACTCTTACCATCCAAATTGTATAATCCAAAACCAACAATTATAATTTTATAACTAACTTCCTGGGTGGTATAAATAGGTCTGTAGATTGTGTAATCATCCATTTAATGTGCAAATGCCGTTGAATAAAATAATCTCTTAATTGGAAGTTCAATTTTTTAATAAGGCTCTTGTAGATAGTGTCAATGAAAGTGGATTATGGGAGTATTTAGTAAAATCAAATTAGAACCAACATCCAAATATTATTATTGAAATATATATGTAGATCATAATTGATATGTTGTAATAACTATTTATAGACATCAAAAGATTCAGAGATCTAAATAAAACAATTGTATTAAATTAGATTATTTATTTATTGGAGCAAACTATAATGATAAATTAATCATCACTTTTTAAAATTTAACCAAGAGCCTATAAATTTAATGCAGGTATATCGATACTTTTTGATATACTTAATTCGATCAATAATAACATTATTGTTTCTTAAAATAAAAAACAGTTAAAAAAAGAAATACTATCAGTAGCTCTTAACTAAAAATATGTTTAATATAAATAAATCTTATTGGATGTATTTGGTATTTCCGCCTAAGAAGTCTAAGAGCTATAGGATCAAAGTAAGATTTAGGTTGAGGAATCGGATCCTTTCGTAGAATATCACTTAAAAATCTATGAAGTATATAAAGAAAGGCTGAGTTCTTATTTGGGCAAAAATTTTGCTGAGTTTCATAAGAAGTACTTTACTAAGGGTTGTGAACTATGCAAATATCACAATTAATAATTTGATTATAGCTAGGATATTCTTGGATGTGTAATTTGTTAAAAAGTATTTTGTATGAAATAGTGCATAAAATCTAAATACGGAAATTTGAATCAACATGCGGTTTAAGAACACTCTGGGGGATCCTTTTTTATAAGTCTAATCACCGGACAGATTACATTAATCTAGCATCCAATATCATTGCATGCGGCATTTGATTTATTTTATTACGATAACTTAGGATTAGAGAAAATTAATTCAGTGGGCTTTGAGAAGTGGTCAAAGTTCGAGATAGATCAACAGGTTCTCAAGAAGATTGTTGAGATAATGGTTCATAATTAATTCGGGATTACGATAAGTAATAAAAAAGTAGAGAACAGTTAAGGTATAGCAACAGATGGAAGATTATGATTAAAAATAAGTATAATATTAATGTAAAAACAGGAAAAAATGTAAATTGTTTTATTAATTTAATTGTTGTTCATATAATGTTTTATACCACTTATCTAAATACAAGGCCGGCGAATAAATTCTTTTTATTCGATACTTTATCTAGCAGTCTCTGTAATAATTGTTGTTTGTTTACAATTTTACTAATTTTGGTTATGTTGTCATGAGGATAATAGAATTCATATTCTTCGACTTTGTCTATATCAAAGTCAATGTAGTGTTCATCTTGAGGTAGGGTTTTTTGAGAGAGCGTATGCTGATGGTCATTGAATTAGGAGAAGCTCTGTCTCCTTGCCTGAGGAGATTGGTATTTATCCTCTTCTTCATCGCTTTCCTGTTGTTGCTCATAACCTGGGTACCCGATTTTATTAAGGAATGCTTAATCAATTTGGACTCCTAATTGTGTTCTCATTTTGATGATGTGATCATAAGCTCCATTGAGGACACCTGTTCTTTGTTATTTGTATTTAGACTTTTTTCTGGCAAAGGTTTATCTGCTCTATACATGGTTGCTATGACAAGCAGCTAACACTTTGTAGGTATTTTTTTTAAAGAAAACAAGAGGGCAATTTTTAAATTAATGATGAGACTGGCAAGCCTCACAAATAATCAGGTTTGTATTTTGACCAAAAACAGTATTGTCTATGGCATACCGGTATTGTTCAAAACTAGATCGATGATTTTGGATGATAGATTAAAATTCAGAGAGATTCAAGTAGGCTACTTGAACAAAGGAGGATGCAACAATATTGTATTGCATAAAGTCTTGATAAAAGAATTCTCTTTCGCAGAGTAGATTTCCTTGTTGATATCTTTTGATTGATTTTTCCAATATGAGAGATTTGACTTGTCCTGCTAATACAATGTATAATTGATTTGGCAATTCATCTTTCCTAAATGTGTAATAAGAACGAATACCTAATGATAACCTCTTCGGGAGCGAATGTTCTTTCATGAATGCAAAAACATAATTTCTTGATGAGATCATCAGAGAAATTGGTTCCAAACAATTTGGAATGTTTAAGATAACGATAGTACATTGCAATTTAGACTTCCTATTTGAGTTTGGGATTGAGTTGTCCCATGAGTTCATCCAAATCCAATTCCTCGTCCTGCTTAAATTACAAATAATATTCAATGTATTTGCGGACTCTAAACTGCAATTGAGTATTCAATCCTCTCTACTTAATATGATTACTCACTAATCTCAATCTGGAGTTGTTGATGTTAGTTTACTCTGCCATTTTATAGAAAATACTTTATATCATTCCTAATGCGTACCCAAAAACTCCAGTGACCAAGAAAGTGATGATAGTGACTAATATTTTCTCAGGGGTTGTAACTGGAACAATATCGCCATATCCAACAGTCATTGATGTGATAGTAATCCAATAGAGTGAATTGAAATATTTGGTGTACAAATCCTCATCAAATATATTCTATTGGTGTAACCAAGTGTGCGTGTAACCTTGGTCTACTTCATAAAGGGCAAAGTAGTGGAAAAGACAAGCACAAAAATGAGAAATCAAGAGCAACGAATAGATTAGACAAAATAGTTGATATATGATTGCACTCTTCTCCTTGAAGTTGGATATCTCCTCAATTACTATCATTGTTCTTCTGACTCTTGTCATTCGAATCAACATCAAATAATTAGCAGCTGAATATCCCATCCACGATAATATGAAAGGCAACACAATTGCCAAGTCCAAAAGGAAGTCGCCCTTTATGTAATGCCAAAAGATCTTCGCCTTATTTCTTTGCAATATCCCTCTGTCGTAATATCCTTTGAAGAATGTTAGGATTAAATCAATCAAAAATATACAACTTGGCAATGTACTAAAAAGAGTAAAGATGCTACCCATATCGTCTTCATTGAGATTAAATGACAATTACAAAGGCACGTAGAAGATATTGGCGATTGTCACCAACATCATCAATAGATCCCATACGAAAAGGAACTTATCCGCAGGTAATAGAACCGTTTCATCACTTTTGAGAAAACACCAAAAACGCCACCATAATGGATTGCTCGCATGAGCCTCATATTTTATTTGTATCCACTAACTTAATTGAAATTTAATTACTCTTGTGGGTTTTTGAAATAACATGTAATTATTTAGATAGTATTGAAATGAGGAAGCCTTATCTCTAATTAATAGAAAGATGCTTTTCTTCAATAATTTAAATCTGTAAGTCGTCGAACTGTGTTTAAGACGAGTAATGAAAATCGTTATTTTCTATATGATCCTTAACGGTTTGGATTTCCACACTCTATTAATATACTCTATCTAAGATTACGAGCTGTTTTCTAGCATCTCCAATTGCTTGTCAACTTTATTGAGTGCATCCAATTCGATCTCCTAATCCTCCATCTTCTCCTGCTCTTCCTTCCTGAATCTAATCTTTTAGAGTCCGGGTATCATTAAAAATAAAAATAAAGTTTGTTTATTTAATATACGCAAATATACGTATTAATAATGCATGAATAAAAAATTGCAATTAATCACTACTCATAACTATTCCTTAATAAATTATCTTAAAGTATTCCAAAAGAAGCTACAACTCCTCGACACTAACATCCAGCCCCAATCAAATTAACAAAATGGACAACTCACTTTCATTGCGAGTTAAATTCAGATATACTCCTTATACGATTCCTCCAACTTGTTCTATCTTGCAGAAGACAACGACACAATTAATATATTATTAAATAGTGATTCAAATACCAACGGATGCACACAATGGTTTCATTTTCAGGTTTAGGCATTAAAACCTACAGTAACAATAAAATTTAAAATATTAAATAATCGAAGAAGACAATAGTTATTGACTAATTTCAAACCCTACACATCCAAGTCAACCTGCTTTGATTTGCACTACTACAAAACCAACATCCATCATCCCTACTATGCAAATGACGACTCATAAATAGCGAAATACCAACAACTAATGCCCTTCTACACTCTAGAGTTTAAATTCACCTTTTAAGACGACGAAATCGTTACCTTTGCATATGCTTAACCCTACCCACTCTCTAGAGCGCTATCCTTAACTGATTATAAGACAGTTGGATACACATAACTAAACAACCCAATCATACAAATAAAAAGAGGCAAAGCCAAATAATATGTCGTAATCTTGGCTCGATAGCATCCTAGTGAAACCAGTGGGTCATTCGTAGTTGAACAACTAATCAATATAATCAACTCTTCCAAATATAGATATATCATCTATCCGATGGTAAATCCAGATGGTGTGTTCTTAGGCAATAGTCGCTGCAACTTACATGGTGTTGATTTAAATAGAAAATGGATTAATCCTCAGTTATAGTCAGAACCGGAAATCTACTTCATCAAATCTTCTTTAGAGAAATATAAATAGAAAATTATCATGATGGTCGATCTGCATGGTCATTCGACCAAATAACACTATTTTATATATGGGTGTGCTAATAATTAAAATAACAATAATGAGATTAAGAATTTTATCGCTAAATTTTCAGATCACTCCTTATTCCATATGAAGCATTGCTCTTTAGAAACTTAAGCCAACAGAAAGAGTACTGCTCGATAGACATTCTGGTATCAATACAAGGTGTAGTTTTCAATTACTATTGAAATAAGTTTGTTCGGTTCACTAAATGGCAGATTCAGTGATTCAGATTACAAAGAGATTGCTCAATAAATATATGATTCTATTGAAAAGTGCAATGAACCCATGGCTGATCAGACTACATTGCCAGTGATTGATTGCTTGGGCAATGATTAGGATGAGTCGGATAGCGAATGCGAATAGGATTTCGCTTATGAGGTAGTTTAGAAGAGAGATAGTTACAAGGAACCCAAGAAATTCTTGTTCAAGTAGAAAACCATATAGACAGAGACTCAATGCATTTAGTAGGATTAATAATTAAAAAAATTGTTATTGCCACAAATAAAGAAGATCAAATCGATGACCAAGTCAGAACACAAATCTTCAACTAAAATGGAGTTCGAAAATCAGATGAAAGTCAAATAAGATTCATTTTAAAAAAATTTTAATATCATAAATTATTTCCCTCAAAGAAATACTCAACCAAAGAGAATGAGTTCTATAAAGAAAGATTTGAATTTAAATAAATGCCCTTAAATAAAGGTAGATTAAATGAAAAATTATTGAATGTTATAAAAATCAATTAAGTCACTTATGTTTGTAGTAAATATTTTTTGACTTTCTACAATCCAAGCAATACCATTTACTATTAGGAACTGTTAATTCTAATAAGGCTGGATCGCAAAAAGTGTGGCAAAATGTATCATTACATCTATCACAAATCAGCATCAAATAAGGAGTATGAGAACCTTAACAAACTTAGCATCTCTCCTCATCCTCATAATCGTCTTCATCTTCGTAAAATTCATCTTCTTCTTAATTCCATTTCGGCAAATTTAAATTTAATTTTAGTGGATTGTTTTCCCTTTTCCCATCCTTAATAGGATAGATGAATTTGAACTTTGCCCTGCAACAGGGACATTATGTCTTGTACTTCTCGGCCCATTCCTTAATACAAGATAAACACATCTAATGATTGCACTTATCCACCTCACAAACCTTTTATACATCATCCAGATTCATCAAACAAATAGGACATTCCTCTTGTGTTTATTATTATAATCTTGTTTTCCTCTTTTACCCAGAGATAAAGTGCTTGGGCAAAGTTTTCGAACTTGGTATCTTCTATTAATCAATTAGGATCAATATCTTACTTATTTTGGTAATATGGTCACAGTCTCTTTAGTATCTGGACTATCGAGGATCAATCTCTTTTTTCTTTATCTATCATTCTCCCATTCGCTCTATTTATTCTGTATTTGATTGGACCTTCTCGACATTTTTAGTTGATTTTATTTTTAAACTAAATTTTCAATTAAAGTATTATAAACTCATTAATAAAAGGAATAATTAAAAGTTCTTTAAATTTAGTAATTTAATCATAAATCTTAGAATATAATAAATTGCATTAGAGAGACTATATGATCTTTAAGGTATTTAAAATATTTGCAATAGTATATATTAATTTACTCTAATAGAAATAATTAAGTGATCTCAAGAATATTTAATTTACAAATAATTTTATATGATTTATTATATTAGAGCACTAATCAATCAGCATCCTCACAATCTTTTTCATTCATTTCTAATTCTCTTAAATCTACTTCTATAACATCCTCTTCTTCTTATTGTTCCTTCTGATCTTTAGTTTAATCTTTTTATTGCTCTTTTTATTCTTTTATTTCCTTTTGATCCTATTTCACTGGTTTCTTCTTCTTCTTCTACCCTTTAGCCATAAATTTATTGGCTACAGTCTCATCCATATCTTACTCATCAAATAACAATTCAAAGACCTATATTTTATTATCAATAATTATACCTCTTGAGGTTTAAATTTATCCCCTTAGAACCCTCCTGAATACACAGTTGATTAGACATTTTACTTTTGCTATGCTCTTTTAACTATCCTCTCCTCAATGGTACCTTTTGTTATCAATCTGTAAACATAAACGTCCTTCGTTCTTCCAATTCTATGAGCTCTATCAGTTGCTTAAGCATCCATAGTTGGATTCCAATCATTATCATAGAAAATAACCGCGTCAGCTTATGTCAAAGTGATTCCTAAACCACCTGCCCTAGTGGATAGAAGAAATGCAAAGATCTTGTCATTTTACTAAAACTCATTGACCATATCTCTTCTATCATTGATTTAGCATTAGCCATCCATTCTAAAATAAGTGTATCCCTTGTGTAACATATACTCTTCCAAAATATCTAACATTCTTGTCATCTAGCAAAATATCAACACTCTCCATTATTTCTATTTTAGATCTTTTAGTAACCTATCCAATTGTAGCAATTTAGATGAGGAAGCAATTAATGAGTCTGGACTATTTGGCAAGATGAAACAAGCTTAGGACTCTTTTATGAATGATAATGCCTATCTATTGTATAGACTTTAATTGAGTTTTTGATAGAATGAACTTGATCTACATTCAAATGTTACAATTTAACTTTAAGCAATCGAAATGTAAAATTACAATTACTTAGAGAATGAATAATTAATTAATCTCTTGGGTTCATCAAAATTACATAGCAAAAGGATCAAATCAAATATATTTTTTTAGAATAGTCCAAATGGCAAATGCTTTAAAACAAAACATGCAAAAGTGGAATCCCCATTTTTTAGAGAGGTATAGATATAATGAGCAGTAAAGATGCAAGGCTTACCTTGAATCAGGTTGTCATAAACTAATTTAGGAATTATAAATGTTATAGGATTTCTCTTTGTTACCTAAACTATTGGATTTTATTAGAACACTTCCACATTTTGCTTATCTTAAAATATATAAGGAGTCTTATATGGTTTCCTTTCAAACAGTTCAGGATGATTGCAGATCTTTCTAAATTACATTACCAAATTCATTAGATTATCTACTTTTTGCTTTGAATCCAACATCCTAAAAAACTCCTTAATTGATAATTTTGATTTAACATTCTTGTAAAGCACTGCCTGTCTACTTGTCATTTCACAAACTATCTGAATTTCTTTCTTCTAACCTATCTCATTCTCCACATCCTTCTTTAGACGTCTCAACATAAAAGGTTTCAATATAGCATGTAATCTTTATAATTAATGTTAATTTAAAGTCTTCTAGTCTTACGAATGTGCCTCTATATCCTTTGAAAACCATTCTTAAAATTAATCAAAGCTATCAAAAAATTTAGGCATAATGAAATGCAACAAGGCCCATAATTCTCCCATAGTATTTTATATTGGTGTTCCAGTTAACAATAATCTGTTCCTGGCATTGAAAGATAATAAAATCTACCACCTTTATGAGTTAATATTCTTTATAGCCTAGGCTTCATCCAAAATCATATATTGCCATCTCACTCTATTGAATATTTTGTTGTCAGAAACAACCAAGTTATAAGAAGTAACAACTATATGAAATAATGATTATTTTTAGCCAAAATTCTTTTATTGGAAATATTTTCTAATAGTTTTTCTCTATTAGGCCTATCCCCAATAGGGCAGAACCTTAAGGGAAGGACAAAACTTTTTGATTTCCTATTACCAATTATGTAAGGTAGATGATGGAGCTATTACCAAAAAGGGCCCCCAAACTTATTTAAAAGAACTAATATGTGATAATAATGCTATGGCTTAGATTGTTTTTCCTAATCCCATTTCATCTGCTAAAATACCATTGATGCCTTAATCGTAGAGATTATCAAGCCATCTTAATCCTTTTAACTAATATTCTTTTAGATCTCCATGAAAAGTAGATGGAGGGGCAATAAGCGAAAAATCTCTATCTTAATCATTATGGTCCAATTTTAATTCCTATATTTAAACGTTTTCTTGTTCCTTTCCATCAAATTATTGTAATTGTCTCCTGTTATCATTTATTACTTTCTACACTGTTTCAAATGCCTTTACTTCATCTATTTCGACATTTCCATTATTTTATTAGATTTGGTTATCTAAAGTTATTCCTAATTTCTTAGCCATGAAATGAGCATAAATATCAGATTGCTTCATTAAGAATTCTAATCTTTTTTATTACAGTAATTATTCTCTTTCTTCTTCTTCCTTCTTTTTTCTTTCCTATTCTAATTTCTCTTTTCTCTTCTTTATTTCAATCAATTCTTTATCTCTCTTTCTCCAAAATGCTTAAGCCTCCTTTGATAATTTCTTGGCTCTCATCATAAAATCCTTCTAATATTTTTGACATTTTTGATTTCTTCTTCTTGCTTCTTTGGCTGCAAAGTATGCGATTCTTTTAAAGAATTCCCTGAAATCTTATCGGAATTTTGCTTTGAATCTTGCAATTTTAACTGTATTCCTAACTACGATTGCCCAACTCTTCTTTTAGTCTCCAACCTCTGTAGGATCTTCGTACAATTCTTATTAGATGATAGTGTTAAAGTATTCATTCTGGGTTGCCGATTGATATTCATTCTTTGTCTAAAATGGAGAATTAATTATAAACAATACCTTTCGTTGTTTTTATTTATTAACCCGCCCAATTCTATTATCGGCATACTAAATTTTAAAAGCATCTTCAAAATTGTAACCAAGAAGGGGTATTTTAGTAGGCTAAAATGAGGGTTCAAATTATTAAGATGTCTTATAATAATAGATATAAATATTACTATCCCAATATGAACTTTCTGTTCAAACCCTGTTTCTAATTTGTGATTGTATTTCTCATGCAAAAACCTTTCCACCATGTTGGGCTGATCTCTCAAAACTTTGGAAAAGAACGTTAACAATTTGCTTTATATTTTACTTGAGTTATTGGAGGAGAAGAAGTGCTTCGTTGATTTTTCCTCTAAGCTTTTTTTGGAGAAAACTTGATTAATATCATGACACAATCCTTACCCATCTACCTCTTATTTTCTAGGTAACACAAACGTGCTTCTTCCAACGACAGGTCCTCAACTGGCGGACGCTTGAGGAAGCAAACCAAATCAAATTGAGGTTCTTCAGCTTTGCTTTGATGGCGATGCACTTATCGAGTGTTCTCAATCTTAAGTATAAAATAAATTATACCTCCGTAATCTGTTGAAGGAGCTAATCGATTTCATATTGTTTATCCTCCTCTTCACCTGAACTCATATAAAAATTAAATAAAGATTTTTGTTTATTTAAGGGTTATTGCATTTGTTCATTAATTTTTATTTTTAAAAATGTATATATATATTCACTTCCCATTGAACAGATGAACTTGCCCAATTGCTTAAGCTTCGAACATTTCCCTCCCACTTATTGAGTTTTGCTTCATCAATAAGGGATCATCCCCTTAATTAGCCACGAACACTATAGTTTTTTCATCAAACCACTCCTCACACAACGGCAACTCGGCTCCAGGAGGGATAGTTGAAATGATCAAGTCAAATTTGTGATTCCTCTCAGACTGCCTCATGAATTCCACCTTGCTCTACTTTGCCAAAGCTTCTACCCTCTAAGCATTTCTCCCATATAAAAACACTTATAATAAAAATAGTTTCGCAGCCACAAAAATAGCAGTCTTCGCAGTACCTCCATTCCCCAAGATTAAACATTTTTGCATGTTCCTAGGAAACTTTAAAAAAATTGGCCAAAACATCCCCCACCAATCAGTATTAAATCCAATCAATTGATTCTCATATTTTATAATACAATTCACAGCTCCAATGATTTAAGCCTCTATCGATTATTCTGTCAAGTATTATTGCACCTAAATAGAATAAAGATTATTACTTCCTCTTTAAATGGCATTGTAATTGAGGCACCCTGGAAATTGATGTCATTAAGATACGGTTTTGCTTATTCAATTTTTTTAATTGAGACTTTAGTGTAAAATTTATTATGTTGTTGATTAAGCTAATCAAAATGTTTTTGATGAAGTAAATCGCTTCTTGATAAGGATAAATCATCACCAAATATGTGATAATTTTAGGTAATCTCAAAATTGGCTAAACTTCTAATCGATCGTAGTTACTGTATAGTACATTGACCAACTGCTGTGGGTGTCAAACAAGATAAGGGAACCATAAATTTATTTAAAGTTCTGTACAACTGTGAATTTGGACCCATAGAAACAACTAAATATGGTATCACAAACTTCATGCCCATGAATTACTTTGATATTTCCTAATATGTAAGTTCTGATGGATACGCATTCTAATGGATTGCCAATTTCAAAAAACATATTGTATTAGGATTGTGTTCTGAGATGTATTTCATTCTGTCTATAAATTCAATAATCTACAACTTTTCTGTTTTCTCAAATAAGTGTTATGATAAAATAATAGAATTATTATAATTTTGAGAAATTCTTACATTATTAAATTAATCCATCTCAATATCAAAATAATCTCCAATGAAACTATTTTGCCATTATTCAATTATCTTAACATATTAAGTTCCAGTATAAAATCCTCCTTGAGGTTTAGTTCTCAAAGTAAATATTATTGGAATATCAAGGTAGAATTTGATGTTGTAAATTTATTGTCTAATCTATTCAAATTGATCTTAAATGTTTTCAATCTTATCCATCCTAACTTCCAATAAGTTGTGATTTCTGTTTATGAAATGAATCTTCTGGTGATCTAAAATTGTTAATTCTTCATAAAATATGCATGCGAAATTAGTATCTGAAACATATATTTTGTTCCTTGGAAAATTTAAATGTTAAATGCTCTTTATAAAATGCAAATAAAGTTCATTTACTCTTTGGTAATACCTTGTAATATCATAATTAGATGTAATTTGCTAAATATATTTTCTGCTTGGCAAAGTAAAAACATATTTGCTGACTCTCTAATAGATTGATTTTCTCCTATTGTAAATCTCCATGACATTTCCAATTTATGGTCTATTCTGAGATTATAAATCTTCAATTAACTCATTTATATCTTTTTCAATCCATATCACATTTTTGCCAATTAATAATTATTGTATTTACTCATCCTCGATGATTCCACCTCCACAATCAACCACAACATTTTTCTAATATTTCAATAATATCTGTATAAATTATTCTTTTTCGCTTTTTCTAAACTGTTCCCATCCATGCTTTGTGACAAATTCATTTATATTATTGGATATCAAATTATCAATGCTAATATATTCAAAACCTAATTGTTTGCATATATATTAAGAGAGCGTACTTTTACCTGCTCCTCTCATGCCAATAATATACAATGGTTCCTTATAGTATTAGTAATTGTATAAGAATTCTTGTTCTTAGTTATAGGTTAATGCCTATTGATATAAACCTAAACTTTGAATATGATTATAGAAATCAGGGAACGTTTTCCTTACGCAATCTTTATTATCAATTATGATTCTATATTAATATTGCACTTTCTCAAAATGTCCTCCCAAAATACTAAAGGCCATTGCAATTCTGTGATCATTATATGTATTGATTGTGATATCCTTTCTATAGCCATTGTATTTTTGATATTTCTTGCCTCTAATCAAAATCTCATTATTTTGTTATAAACAAACTACTCCAACCTTAATCAAGTTTTCAGTAACAGCCTTGATTCTATCGCATTCTTTCACTCTTTAATTTTCAATTCCTTTGATAATACATTGACCTTCAATTGAGGACATTAGCAATGCCAATGAAATAAAAGTGTCACTGAAATTAATGCAATTGACATCTTGAGGCTTCAAGTCTTAATTCTTGATTATTTTGTAAAATCCTTATTCCCTCACTACTTACATTCCCATCTACTCTATGATATCCAAGAATTGTGAATCTCCCTGTAACTTGGATATCTTTTTGGTTTCAATTGATCCGCCATTTAGCCCAATATGCAATAAGTCATAACTCAAAGCTGTAGCATCTGGTTCAATATCATAGGTTTGTGCTTTGTAAATTCCCTTCTTCACTAAAAATTTTGTTTTAGACAGTCTTTCTACCTTTACTCCATAAATATTCATAAGTTGTATAGTCATTTCTATATAGGATTCGCTAACGATGGTTTCATTTTCATTGCAATCTATGATTTCAATCAGAGTTTCATCGTTTGGGAAATAAGGAGCAGACATTAAGATTCCAGAGACAAATTGACTACTTAGTTGAGATTTGATTTTGATATGCTTAGCAAATTTGCCATCGATTACTTTGAATGGCAATTATCCTTCTTTCTATAAATATATCACATTTAAATCAAGTGCTTCCACCATCTCTTAAATGGGTCTTTCATAAATTCTTTATGCTCCTATAATAGTGACATTGCCAATTAGGGCTGCAATAGGGAGCAGAAATCTGGCACAAGTTCCACTTTCCTTAACATTTATTGTGTATTCCTTCTTATAAAATTAGCCTTAACAACCTTCTAGAATTAGATTATGTTTAGAATGTGTTTATACTTCACATAATCTTAATTCTTACAAGGAATTCAACATAGCTTTTGTGTCATCTGAATCATAAAAATTATTTAATGAGCTTATTCCTTCTGATAAGGAACTTAACAAAAGCACTCTATTGGTGATACTTTTAGATCCATGTATGGGTTTGCTTGGTCTGATGTCTGAACAGGCAATTACACAGGACTTAACTAGTATTTTTTTAATAATATCCATTTTAATAGGAGTAGTGTTAAATTTATGTTTACCAATTTCTTAAATAAATACAAAGTTAATTTCATGTTTAACTACTTTCTTATCGAATTATAAATATTTTAAAACATCTTGTATATTTACATATTCTGGTATTTCTATAGGCAATTCATATTTCAATAGAACATTCCTGATTCTATTCTCATAAGATGACGTATCGATTCCATGTTCTTTAGCCAATATATTTGCCAAAACCATGCCAATTGATACACATTCGCCATGCAACAATTTGCCTTGACTTGCAAATTCTACTGCATGACCAATGGTGTGACCATAATTTAAAATTTTTCGAATATTTTGCTCGTATTTATCTTCTGTTACAATACTTAACTTTAAATTAATTCCATATTTTATAATATCTAATAGAGTCGCTTAGTTATTTGGATCCATCAAATAATTATAGTCATAGCATTCCAATCTCTCAAATAATTTTCTATCAAAACAAGCTGCTATTTTAATGATTTCTGCCAAACCATTAAGAAAATTTCGTTTGTCCAATGATTGTAAAAATTAGCTGCACACTTTGATTCTATAAGGATCATTTATCACTCCTAGTTGATTCTTACCGTAGATGTTGTTGATACCTGTCTTTCCTCCGACACTAGCATCTGCCATTCCCAACAACGATGTGGGAATCAAAATGAATTTTATTCTGTTGAATAGTTAAATATACCAAACCCTCTCATGTATATGCTAGACACGAATCCAACCAAATCAGTCACCACTCCTCCTCCGACTGCGATCACTAAATCTTATCTACAAAACCTTTTGCTAAACAAGTATTCTGCCACTTCATTCGCAAAATGTAGATTTTTAGCTCCCTCTCCCACTGGCAATGTGAATGTAATCGCTTATGGAAATTTTTAACAGATCTATTACAAGTAGAGTTATGCAATATTGGTGTCTGAGACCTTATGTAGATAATGTAGTTACAAAACAGATTTGGGGGTTTCGAAGGTCTTGAATAGTGTTGGCTAGGGAATCAAGTGTTTCATTGAGTGTGTTATGATAGTCAATTAGGGAGTTTTCTTGATCAAGTTATTCTAAGTTAATGAAACTCATAAATTAAAAACGTATTATATATATATTACTATCAAAAACGGGTAATAAGTGTAAATCGCTTGATCATGGTTGGATGCATAATAAATAATTAAAAAAATGGCTAGATCATTAACAATATTGGCTATTGTTATTGCAGTTGCTACAGCACGATTGACAAAGACTGAAAGTCCCAAAGAAATTTTGGCTCAAGTCAACAAGGATTCATTTGGTAATTCCATCCTTTCAGTTCTCCAACTCCAATTGGCCACTGGTGGACCCGTTGGTGAGATCTAAATCCTCTTGAATAACATTGCTTCTTAATTGAATGGAGATTAAAAGAAGGCTGACAAAGTTCACGAAAGTGACACTGTTGCATTTGAGAAGATCATTGCTGACTTAGAACAAGAAATCGCCTATCACTAAACTTAAATTGTTGCCCTCTCTAACTTGAGAGACTCAACAACTGAGGCCTTGGGTGATGCTGAAGTTGAAGTCAGAGTTGTCACATCCGATATCGCCAATAACGAAAAAAGCTTTGCTGACGAATCAGCCACCAGATAATCATAACACGATACATGGGTTAGAAAAGATGCAGAACATGTTGATTAAATTGATGCCATTGATGAAGCCTCAAAGATTGTTCAACATTTATAAGCCGGTGTTGCTTTTGCCTAACTAAAGAGCAGATTTGAAAAAGTCTAAGCTAAATTGATGGAAAGCAAACATGCTCTCTTCAAAGTATATTTCATTTGCTATTATTTAACAGCCCCTCATCAATGCCTTGACCTAATTGGCTTCCAAGGTTGATAACAAGAGCATCATCAAAATCTTAGAACTCTTGGCCTAAATCAGATAATAATTGGTTGCCAGCAGAGCTTCACTCCTCGCCACCGAAGAAAAATAAGCTGCCAACTGGGAAGTCTAAAGTGGTCACTTGTAAGAAGAACACAAGAGATTAGTTGAAAGAAAGGCTTTCTTAGAAAACTCAATTGTCCAATTCAAGGTCACCATCTAAGAGGCTGTTGAAGACTTAGAAGATTAAACTGTAAAATAGTCCCACTATGTTAGTTATTCCTTGAAGATGCTGAAGATTCATTGGCCATTCAAGAAAGATGGGCTGCTGAATAAGAATCCCAATATGAAGCCTAAACCTTCGAAAGAGAATAACAATTGGAAGTCGTCGAAAGATTATAAGAAGTCTTAACCTAAAAATTAAGTGCAGCTTCAGAATTCCTCTAAGTTAGAGAAGAAGTATTTTGATTTATCATAATAATAACAATCAAGATTTAAAATGTTATTTCCTAAATTCTATCATACTCAATGCTATCAAAATATTTGATGTATATAAATTTCATTATTATTTGATGCGAAAACAAATTCAGGAGCTTTTGAAATACAAATAGCCTCTATGAAATCGTCCTACTTATATTCATTAAAACGTTTCCACTCATTTTATTGATTCTTCTTCCATAATTAAACAATATTAGTTTCTCCTCCTATTGCTAAAACTGATGAATCAAAATTAAAGTTAATTGTTCTAATTTTAGCAATATTATTAAAAATCTTTTGAGTTTCTATATATTATTTTTTTTGCTAATTGTTATTGTTCTTAAAACAATGAACCAAGCCATCCTTAGTACCAATAATTAGATCTTGATCATTTACACTAAATAGGATATTCTTAGGAGTGTTGTACAATTTCAACTATTGAATCTAAGTTAATTTTGTCTCCTCGATTTTCCAGAGAGTTACCTTTTAATCACAGCCTCCAATAGCTAATATTTTATCATCACTTGATATCATAATAGTAGTAATCAATTCACTTGATTTTTCTAAGCAATATTTTAATTCTAAATGAAAATGCTTTATTTTTATAGCACCAATACGAATTCCCTCAGCAAAGAATATTTCAGATTCAGTAGAATTCATAACAACACATGAAACTCTTTGACATCCAAGTCCTGACTAAAAGTCAGTAAAAATTGATTGCTTAATAATCCAAGAATCATCTTTCAAAATCCATATTTTTAATTGAGCCCTAGTCGCATTATATAAATCCGATCCACTAGTTATTAGAAAGTTTTATAATTTACTGAATGTAAAGTATACTAAGGATTTTGTATAACATTCTAAGTTTTGCAATTTAACCCATTGATTCGACTAATTATCTTTTTTCCAAAATAAAAGGTTTTTGCATGGCTCACAAAACCTTGCAGCTAGAATAGTTTAATCAAAATTTAATTTAAGATCAGCTATTGGTAATTTTGAGTTAGATCTTAATATTTGTCCCTCCTAATTAAAAATTTATATCTGATCATTTTCATTGGGTTTAACTTATTCATTTAATTCATTTTTTATAACATTTTACTGCATTTGAGTATGACACATATTATTTTATATTACAAAACTACTTATCATCTAATTTAATTATTATACTAAATCTAAGTATTAATTTGACTCAGCCTATTTTTAATCATCTAAACCTTGTTTTTTCACAACCACATTTTTCTTTTTTTCCCCAAATTCAACCTATTCTGAAATACATTAAGCTAGAAACTCAATTTCTTACAGGCCAAATCCCCTTATTGAATTAATGGCTGCATACTAAAATTAAAACAATACTTACTTTGAAATCATATGAATAGACAATTTCATTGTACAATTTTAAATTCTTAATAAAGTTGTTATCCTGTTTTTGTTTAGATATTATGCTCAAAACTTTTTCATTCATTTAATTAAGTGTTTTTTAAATATTTTAAAATATTTCTAAATAGGCCTTCATAATCTAATCATTATCATTCTAATTAGTCATTTAATCACAAATGGTATTGAATTAAGGAATAGTAACGCAGTATTAATTTAACTTGCATTAATTACATTTCAATCTCGACCTATCTTCACATACTCTCGAAAGGTCTAGATAGCCCAGAGGTTCGTTATGCTGATAGCATTTAATATTGCGACCAGTTAAGTGTTCAGCTAAAGAGATTTTTTTTTATTGCTTCATGTCTAATAACTTAATTATTGAGAATATTATTTATTAAAGAATAAAAAGGTTTGATTGTTGATTTAATTAAATGAATATAGTTGTTAATTAAATTTAGTTTTCTATTTCTTTAGAGATTTTGATTTATTTAATTTTATATCCATAAATACATAATTACCTTTACATCCTTAAATCTTGTATTGTTAGTTAAGAACTGCATTTCTTATTTATCACAGCATTTATTGAATAATAAAATCAGAACTATTAAGTTCGATTAAATAATACTAGAATATATTTAATTAAACCAAATTAAAAATACATTCAAAATTTCTTAGCTTTCATAAAAATGCAAAGTGAATTCTTCTATTTGTGTTAATTTATTATAAGTTTGTATAATTATTTTAGTAAATAATAAATATATAACCAGAATTAATTACATATTAATAGCTTATGTATTAGATTTTCAGAACAATGAAAATGATGAAACAGATCATAAGGCCAATAAGAATTTGCTCTCCAATAATTGCAACAAATAATTATTTGAATATTTACAATTTGAATTAATTCTTTTTGAGGATGTCATTATCAAATAATGATGACGATATGGAAGCCATTAAAGTAATAGAAGAACACAATATTCATAGATTAATTAAGAATCAGATGTCAGATGCCCTCAGATGATTGTTTGAATTATTCATGACATTCCAGATTAATAACCATTTTATCAACATTTGAATTTTAACTGTTCTCTCAAAAATAAATAGAGACTATAGCAAATAGATTGGAGATATGAGGCATAATAAATGCATTTCGTAAGCACTGCTTCCTCCCTTATATTTCTATATTAATTTTGCTCAAATCTAAATTCGATTTTACATTTATATTTTCGATTAAATCTGTTTGCAAATCTCACACAATATCTAATGAATTATACAAAATAAGATATATCGCTATTTTAGCTCTAAAACAACCTAATCGTATATTTTATCTTTCATTAGTTTTAAATACTTAAATATATAATAACCTGATGTTGTTGCTAATTTTTTACGGTTTATCCTTAGCTAAGGGATTGTCTCCTTTAGTGTGTGGAGATGTTACAGAGGAAAAGGATTGTTTAGATATCATAAATGGAATGTATTCTTATGCTAACATTTAGTTATCTATGCAAATGGACAACGAATGGATGTGTTAATATGAAATGTGAATTGGCAAAACCTCCTTGTGATTCGTTGATTTATGAAAATAAGGCTTGTTCAACAAGTGGGACAAATTGTGTTTCAGTTTCAGAATGCTCAGAGATAGACAACTAAAACTCATGTGGAGCAGTTAAAGCAGGTGGAAGGGATTGCATTTGGGATACTTTGTGTAGAATGAAATAATGCTCAGATTATGATCAAGCAAATTGCAAAGTATCTAACGAAGAAAATTGTGTCTTCAAAGATGGAACATGTCAAAAGTTAGTATCGTGCACTGATATCGTTACTAAGGATTTATGTTAGACTATTGATTTGGCTGATTAATGTGCATGGATAAATGATAAATGTGACATTTTTGATTGCAAAAAATTTACTAATTCGGAAGAATGCTTTTCAGCTGTCTCAAAGACTGACTCTTGTTTTAATGGAGCAGTTGATAATACTGTTAACTGTATGAGTTGTTTCTCTTTGTAAAGCCAATGCGATTGTCAACAATACGGTCTTTATGGTTGTAAATGGGACACCTAAACCGGAGGATGTATTCGTTAAAAGTAATTAAAAAATGAAAAATAGATGCGAAGACTTTGAGGATACAATCACTTGCCAATAGGCTTTTGATGGTTTAACTTGCGTATGGTATAAGCCAATGGATTAATGTAAATCAATAACGAATGCAAATGAATTAGATAGACAATGCGATCTTTATGTCTTCAGTCAGACTTTGACATTTGGATTGCTTGTTTCGTTGATAATCTATATATGAAAACAATAATTTTATCAAATCATAAGAGTAATGGTGATCTTTTGTTGTATAATCTCTTGATATACCAAATCTGCCAAATTGTAACTAAAACAATAAAAATAGTTTCGATGACTGTGAACACGTAGATTTTCTTATTGGCTTCTTTAACCTATAGAGTTGATGACTCGTATCTGATTTATTAAAATTTATGATCGTAATATAATTCCTAAAGTCCATTATGTATATAGTCTATGTCTAATTCCAAAGGATCGATATCTGTTGATTTGATTTTGTCATCTTTGTCTTTTACCACATCCACTGCATAAGTAAGCAATTAATTGGCCTTTTTTTTATTGTTAAATATTATTTAATACAAACCAATTTCATTTGCTTACACAGTGAAATTTCCTTTATTAGTTGCCATTTTTGAATAGATGGTTCTTCCAGTTGGAGTTTTCACCGAAAAGTCAATCACATCTTTGTGATGATTCACTTAATATGCTCCTTTTATTAAGGTTGGTTCAGTTATATTCTCTAATAATACATCTTCCTAATTGGCTATTAAAGTGAAGGTTATAATGTCATCAGGAATGAAATCATAAAAAGAGTATACACTTACCAAAAACGTGGCATAAATAAATAAGTATTTCATTATAAAATTAAATTAATTAAATTTGGCATATAATTTCATTCCATTTGTTCAACATCTTAATTATTATCTTGTATTCTGAATCCAATCTATTTTCTTTGATTTTGTTTCATTTTATATCTTCTAATCAAAAATACTACCAATGTCATCAATAATATACTAGTAAATACTCCAAGGTAGATGTAATATACATCATTTTAAAAAGAGACTTAGGGTTATTCATCATTCAAAGACTCTTACTGTCTTTTATTTCGAATTATTTCTTTTTGAATGATTAACTTTATCAAATTTCTTTCCTCTTCACTCAAATCATTGACACCATTCTTAATTAAATAATCATTGACTTCTTTCTAGATTTCCTCTTCCGTTTTACCCTACTCCAATAATTCCCTAATCAATAATCTAACCTTCTATCTAACTTATTTCACTTACTCACTTGGACTATCTTCTTTTTCCTATGTCTTCACATCATGAATAATTTCTTCGATACTAGCATTATTTTGATCTAATGATGTTGAATTACTAAAGTAGGATTGAATAAAATCTGTAATCTGTTCTTTAATTTTCTCTTCTGATAAACCCTAATCTAAAAATTCCTATATCTAGTATTCTATTTCTCTCATTTCCTATTATTACTACTTCTAAAGATTCTCATATTATTTTATATTCCATGTTGCCTTTGAATTCTTATCAGGCTTATTTTAATAACTCTCAATTTCTTTTTTAATTATCAATAAAACAACTTTACTATTGAACTCCTTTGAAGGATCTTTTAGAGTTTTATCTAAACTTTATGAAACCTTCGTCATTACGATATTCTTATCTTTCTCATCAAGTTAACTAAAATATTAAATATCTTTTTCCAATCTTTAATTCTCTTCATTACTTTCTTTTTCAAGTTCTCCAACCATCTCAAACAAAGCGATTAATATCTTTTGTTTTTCTTCTTGAGTAGCCTTAGCATAATACAATAATCCTTCATTGAAAATATAGCCTTCAATTAATTCTAAATCCTACACTTGTTACTTAGTTAAGTTTCCTGATATTTGTTGAAATATTTAATCAAGTGCTTTATTTGATTGATCCCACTTCTCTCCTCTTTTTGGAGGTGCTCCTCTTCCTTACAGGTTTCTACCAGATATTTAAAAAATAAGAATAACAAGAATTAACATATTAATAATTTATTAATTTCTGTTATCTTCCTTAAAACTATATATAATGACAAATCATCAAATGTTTAATGTCTTTCCACAATCCACAATCAACTACCCTTTTTCAATCAAATGAATGCAATGTCCAATATGAAGAGCTACCATCCGCAATAATGCAAAACTATTAGTAATTTGATTTTATAACAATTTATATATTGCAATAAAGTGGGTATGAAATATTAATTATATATATTTAATTTTTATCGTTAAACTTTTTTACTATGACTAGTGAACTTAGCGAGGATAGTAGTTTTTATGATATCAAATTCCCAAGATCTCTTACTACGTCTGTGAGAAAATAAGGTTAGGAAGACTATTTTTTTGAATTAAAGGAGAAGCAAAAGCAAATAGAGGATTTAACTTATTAGGTTAAATTGATGGCAGCCAATAATCAAACTCTGAATCTCCAGAATTAGATGCAGAAAAGTGAAATCGAAAGATTACTAAGATTTATCAATGAGTAATAAAATGAAATGAAAAAAATGGCTTAAAGAGATAATAAAAAACAAATCAATACTAGATCAATTAAAATGCAACTAATTAATAAAATGTGTCAATGGGCCCAACAATTCCCATTGGATTAATAGATTTAATTTGAATAAATAGTTTAAATGATTATATGAAATATTTCTAATTCAAAATTTTGTCGCTAAAAATTATTTCAATAGAAATTGAACTTCTATCATCATTTCAGTAAAAGGTTTCTCCTATTTTACTGATTTAGCTACTTGCCTCTCCAAACTGTCAAATCCCTGAGCCTGAAACTAATGATAGCCATAGAATTATCTGTTGCTCTATTCTTCATCCGTAGACAATACATTAATTAAATCAAACATCGAATCCTTGATCTTTATACTTTATTGAATGAAATACTGGTTTTTTGTATCTATTTTTAATTCGATCCTTCATCCAAGCTGAATTCGAAATGGAGCTCTCCTCATTTAAGGCGTATTTAATATTCGGAGGACAAAACAACTAAAATATTGCATCAATATACCTGAGTCTTAATATCGAAATACCTTGACACAAATATCATCTCAATATCGCAAAGTGTTTAGGTACCAATGATTATGCGGTTTCCTTTGTTCTCATTTTAAAAACCTGATATTTGTTGTTCATTAATAACAGATGCTAATGCACCTGCCATAGAAGGTACATAGTTAGTTTTCTATTCATTTAAAAAAAATTGATTGGAATTATTGAATTGAAAGCTAGGTACTGAGAGGCCTTAGAGGAATCCTGGAATTTGCAAATTATCTTTAAAAATTGAGTCATCTTTATAGAAAATCACATTATACTTGAGTTTCTAATTTATAATTAAGGAATTTGAGAGTTATTGTAATCCATCATGGAAGTAGGTGGGAAGTTATATACAAAATAAGGATATTGGGGTGGTTAGTTTTGTTAGTCTTTTGATTACGTCTAAATATCAGTTGAATCATTAAGCATTATTAATATATATATATAATATTATATAAGAACATCTACAATACAGAATATTTGAATAGATATATCCATCTTTTATTGCAACATTTTAATACACTTAGTTGTACTATCTATTTACATTTTATTTTTGATTGTTTAAACCAATATATTTCTCCTAAGGAATGCATGCAATGGAGCAATTTGGGTCGATGAATTAAATTAAATAAAATGGATTTCAATAGTTATGAGTAAAATTGAAAAATCTGAATTGTCTCTTTAAAATTTAATCAATTTTGCAGGAAATAATCTATATTTTTACTAAATGATTTTAGTTTATATATTTTTGATATATAATATTTTGATATACACCATTGTTGATTCAATCAGCTTTCTAATTTGAAATTATGCCCTGTCCTAGATACTCACAAATAACATCAAATTTATCAGCTGCTGCATAAAGTTTTTCTTTGAATGGTTTGGTTTCCTTTGATGCTTCAATGAATTCTTATTTTCTTTTGAAAAACATCTAAGTATCCTAAGGACATAGGAGACACGCTCTTTCACTAATAATACAATTAAATATTTGTGTACGTATGAATGCAATGTTCATGATAGGAATGACCGCAAAGGAAATGATATGAGGGTAAACTCAAAATGGCATCACAGCAATTACATTTAGTGGATTGGAACACTTTGGCTTGAGTCTTTAATTTCTTGTATTCAGCTCTGAGTTCTGTTGCTTTCTTCATTTTTTCCTTAACAACCTTTTAACAGTCATCAATTTGTTTCTTGTCCTTTGATATTTTATTAGTGAAATAGTTCTTGACCAATTTAAAATTAACATTTCTATTTTTTGACAATATATTTAGTATAAGTAAGGGTGAAAGATTTTCTAAACTGCTCACCAACACTAACACTTTTTCAATGTAATTCTCTGCGCCATTTTCTGGCTTTGCAAAGTATTTCAATGCTTAGATCCAAAGATTAGTTTCTTCCCTACCATATTCACTGCACAAATTGATGATTTAATCGTTCTACTTCAAACTGATATAGAAATTCAATAACTCTTCCCTCATTTGTAATTTTTTCAATAAGAATATAATACCTGGTACAAAATTGTACATTTTGAACAACACCAATAAATGATTCTTATCATACTTCTTTTCATTTTCCTAATTCTCCAACAATTTCATAATACCTTATTCTTTGCTCTACAATTATGTATCTCTAATCCCAATCTTACTCTCATCTTTATAAAATAATTGATATTTCTCTAAATGATATTCAAAGTATCTATGGAATATGGCTTTTTCATTCGGTAAAGTTTTACAATTTTCAATTAAGAATTTCAAATAACTTTCCAAATATTCATCATTAACCACAAATAAGTGCAAGAATTCATCTGGTTTACCAAATGTGATTGAAAATACCTTTTTGATCTCCTCATCTGATAAATTGAAATACCTCCACACCTTCAACTCTTCAGGTGTCAATATACTAATTGATTCAATTCCTTTTTATGAATCTACTCGTTTCTTCAAATTCTACACCATACTAATAAGCAAAACCAAATTTTGTATAATTTCAAGACATAATTCTGGTTCAGCCTTCATTAACTATTGTCCAAACTCCTTCAAATATTAAGCCTAATCTATTTGTAATTATTATTACCTTTTCATCCAATTAGATCTCTTCTCTAATATACATCAAAGCACTCTTGCAATCTTACCTATTCTATTCCTTATTATTCTAATCTTTGTTTGTCTCAATAAGAATACTGAGGTAAGCTTCATTTTTCTAACGAGATTTAGCTAATCTCAAAGCCAAATCTATGTGTCCTAGTTATCTGCACTCTTTGATAGCAGTATCAATATCAAATAGGTCTGAATCGAAACTTGATTCCTTCAGAAATTCTTCAAGTTTAGTTATCTATTTCTATTTTACATAACAATTCAAAAGCAAGGCAGTATGATTTTTATCTGCTTGCTTTTCATGATGCAATGCGGCTAAATATTAAATCAAAAAGTCAACATGTGAAACATCTAAAAACTTCCCAATTACATACGAGGGTTCTAAAATACCTGCTGTATTAATGTATTATTTGATTGCACCTTAGAAATCATGTTAATCATATAAATGATCACCATGCAATCTACTGATTTCAGCTAATAGAGTTTTATCAGATGATTAATTGCTAGCAAATCTATACATAACATCAAAATAATTATTTTTAAAAAAGATCTCAATTTTGTGAGTATTTTCTTTTTCTGTTAACCTTATTAAGTTTTTCTCACCTCTATTATTTTGAGTAATAACATAGAGATAATCACCCACTGGAATAAACCTTTGAATCTTTTCGAATTTCTTATAATATGCAATATAATTGTTTAGAAGGTCAAAGATAGTTAATTACACAGATTAATCAACTTATTCTTTATCCTGTCTTGGTGATATCAACATAATCAAGTAGTTTTATTTGAAAAATCTGATTTCGATTTTATCACCATCTACATTCCAAGTAGCTTCTTTCTTAGTATCACTATATTCAACAATTGTAGAGGTGTCATCCTTAGGACATCCAATAAGAGTGCCTTTTGCTGTCAAATCGAATAATGCGCCTGCTGGAATTGAAAATTTCTTTCTATTTTGCATATTCTAAAAACAGATGATGTTAGAGTCAGTTGTACAAAATAAATTCAAAAAATTTTGATCCTGTCTACTTAGATGCACAGATTTGATTGGTTCTTAATCAGTTTAAATGACTTAATCTTTGAAATCCATTGTCATAAGGTTTTATGATTTTGCCTTGAAGATCAATATTTAACCATCTTGCAAACCAAAGGCCATAGCACTTAAGTCTTTAGCTATGCAAAAGCAATTAAAATTTTGCAAGGGTTACCCAACTTTGTTGACTAAGATAACTTTTATAGGTTCTATGATGTTATTGAAATTAATTTACTCATATTTTGGTAGTCAGTTGTATTGGGATCCCAAAATTTCACAAAGCTGCTCTTTTAGTTGTTTTCGCTATCAATACCAAATGTTACAAGCTTTCCCTATTAAATAAAATCAATTATGGATTATTACTTCTCTGCTTTCCCTAGTGCATTTCATAACTCTGAATGACTCATTATGAGGCTAAAAGTATCCTTGAATGGAATTGGCTTCGTAGACATAAATTAGATTCTTGGACTAAGATGAGAGGAATAATTTGGTTCCAATTCCACATCCATCAGATATTCCAATATCATTCAAGGTTGGGGCAGTTGGATCACCACTAAATTTAATAGATGAGTATTTGAGTACTTAGCTCTCTAATCTTGAATGTTTTCTTAATTAAAAAATTAAAATTTCTTGACCTATTCAACTTCTGCCTATCTCATACGTATATATTTAATATTTATTATTTACTATTTTTTATTTAAGAGTTAAAGCCTTCTATAATTAAGAATGAGTAATAAAAAATTGAAGATTCTTGTAAAATAAAGCAAAATATTAATATGATGATCAAATCATTACTTGATAAAGTATAGAATTTTTAGATTCGATTGAAAATCTCTATGCCTTTATCACTATTGAGATATTTAGACTTATACAACTATTGATAATTTGTAACTGTGTATCTCAAATAATCATGGAAGACTTGAGAATGAGACCAAGAATGAATTTCATGGGGATTATTGAATAAAATCATTTTTTTTCTTCTCCAATTAGTTGAGAATGAATTAGTTTAAGAAAATTATAGGTTCAATACATAACTAGAATGACAGAACTATTGTTTTAATATAATTATAAGTGCCTGAATAATTAAAGTCCTATATTTTGTCTTTAAGAAATTAATTCATTCTATTCAAAATTGAAAATTATTAATTAGCTATTAAAATTAGAATCAATTCTCATAAAGTTTATTAAAACTCTTCTGCTATATCTCTAAATTTCTTAATAATTCTTAGAAGGCGCTAATATATACACAATTTATTCTATCATAGTTCTGATTTATAATTCATAGAATTTATCCTACATTCAGAATATTAACATAGATTTCCTAAAGAAAATAAGGAGATTCTAGTTGTTTGGTCAAATTTCACCAATTTTAATAACTAATTTAATGCTCCATGTCTTATACAGCCTTTTATTATGAAATTCAAATTTCTAACTAAATTTCCGAGAGCCCCTGCTGCATTAGATCTTGTCTTCTCATATTGATATTTTATCATTTTTAATGCTTCTTAATCTTTTAGTAACTCAACTAATTGAACTTTGAATGATATATAATCTATTACTATAAAATTCTGTGTTTCCAATTGCGAAACAACCAAATTTTCTGGTGTTTTTCATAGGATCCGAACAACATTTAATACAAAGATTGATCAAATCTTATTTCATAGATACTCATAAGAATAGGAGCTTTGATAAAGATTTTCAATCAAATAGCAAATTTAGATATTAAGTTAACTCAGACTCCCGATGAAGAAACTATAGGATTGTTTGAAACATTGTTTTTAAAATGTTTATTAATACCCTGACTAATGCTATATTAGGAGTCTACTTCGATCTCTGAGAAGTTGAAATCATCTTCCAAAATTTTACATAATACACCTTGTCCAACTAAACAATATTCCCTAAAGAAAGGATTAATTTTTTTGAGTAAACGAAATTCAGTTGGCGTTTCGAATGCATCTAATAATAGTATGTTATTTTCAAGTTTCAATCTCCTCAATATTTCAATTTTTATCTCAAATTTTTTAATTCTTTCTCTGATTTCCCTTTCTTGCTAATAAATTCGTAAGCTGCATCTTGAGTGTTTCTTTTGAGTCTTCACTTGTAAACCTTACTGAAATTGTCTTTGCTTATAAAATGAAGGATGTGATAATTTTCCATTTTATTTTAACTATTTTATTGGAATAAAATGGGATGAAAAGCTATCATTATATATAATTTGTAAATTTTGTATACATAGATTTACATTGTTGAAATACGTTTGTTCTAATGAACTGAAGTAATTGACTGATTGGGTGGTTAATTGCAACGGGCAAGGTTAGAATTCTTTGGGGATAATTAGATTAATTAAGTTGGGTGAGTAATTTAACTACGCAAAAATAAAATTTGATAATAAAATTAGTCAAAACATTTTTAGGGATGAATAATAATAATAGAGTAAGAATTGATTATTTTAAGATTATTATTTATTAATTAGCAAAATCCCATCACAAATTAGTAAATTTAATTGATGGTCGATGTTTGTCTTCGTTTATATTTTAATTTAAGTTGAAGTTTCGTAGTCTTCATCAGTTAGTAGGATGAGTAAAGTAAGATTAGGACTGGGGCCTGTCGGTTTATAACAATAATTAAAATCAGAACTTAATTCATAAAAAAACGGATAATTATCCCTATTCTTATATTTTATGTTTGCATTGAGAAATTCATTTATTATTTTACATTATTTATGAAGAAATCTTCATTAATATTGCTATTGTTTTTGATATGTTCGCTACAAGGTAAAAGTGGTTAATATGGAATTTTAGCGTAACAGTTTGTTGAACTATAGAGCGGAATTAAATTACATTCGCTTGAAGAGTTGAATAATTTGGATACAAGCAGTCTAGATTGTTCTCCAGGCTTGTCATAAGTGAGCAAATCTATGGAAGCTTGGCAGGAGATACTTTCTGACCCTGACTAGATAGATAATGATATTGATAATTTGAGAAAACTGAAAGTTGCAGTGTCTGACTACAGAAAATCAGAGGGACAGAAGACAAGTACACATTTTCACAATATTTTAGCATTATTGCAATATCACAGCACAAAGGGTTCATTTGCATTTGTTTAATTGAGACAAAGCGAAAGAGATGGCTTGTTACAATAATGGAGACAATATGGTCAAAATATATTGGATGGTTAATTGAATTTATTGGATGCTGCCTCAACACAAGAGGATGCAGATGAGTGTTGCGATAAAATTGAGGACTTAATCAATAAGCTCTTAAGCGAAAGAGAATAAATAAGGGAGCAATGCAAAAAACCATCAGTAATTTATTTAAATAATCCATCTAGATAACAATCAACATCATCAATTCTAAATCAACTGATGTTCAAAAGAGAGTTGAATCATGTTCCAAGGATGGAATCATCGTGAACACAGACGACGACAAGAAAATCATCATCAGACCTGGAGATGGAAGTGCACCCGAATCTGAAGAGGAGCCCGTTAGTGCCTCAGCATTGGTGAGTTCATCCGACTCTGAAGATGATGAGGACACCGTTAATAAGAAATAACCCTCAGATTACACTAACGATAAACCTATCAGAACTACTGAAGTTGACAATGGGGAGGAAGAAGGAACAGAAGACTTAGTTGAATATGGTTATGGGTATTGGGCTAGATTTATGTTGGCCTATCCAAAGTTCATGCCTAAAGGTAAGGATGCACCCTGGTACTTTGTTTCAAGATTGTCTTCCAACAAAAATACTGATAATATCAACATGGGAGACAGACTCTTGGCAATTTGGTTGGGCAAAGGATTCTATCATTTCACTACCTGTGACAAACCTTAAAATCAACCAAATGTCGTTAAGAATGTGGACTACCCTGAAAATTTGGATGGCGTTTGGACTTACATTTACTATTCATACAGTTCAGAGAAGAAAAAGGCTGTTGCTTACATTAAATTTGGAGAAAATGATTTTAAGAAGGTTGAGCATGAGGTTACACATCCAACGACAAAGTTCGTTAGATTCACTGTTGGTGGCACAGATGACAAGAGATACCCAGGATTCAATGGTTTATTGAGTGCAATCTATTTCAGTGCTAAGAGAGGAGTCTTTATTGATAATGATGAAGACATTCAAGCAAAATTACAATCCATGAAGAAAATTCCAAAGGACTTTATTCCCGACATCGTCACATACAAAGTGACAACCAACCCTATCTCAAGAAAACCAGAAGACAGAGAAGTACATTAAATTGTTGGTACCACTTCAACTCCTAAATTCCCTCATGAGTATGGTATAAGTGGATGGTTCAAATGGACCCCAACTGATAAGCAATAAGATTGGCACAACATCTTCAGAGTTTAGATTCAAACTCCATCAACTGACAAATTCCTAGGAGACAGAACCTTATCAGCTTGGGTTGGAAAATAAGACGGAGGCATCATTCATTTACCAACCTATACTCTTACAGACCTTGAAGGAAATGGTAATGCAAATCTCTTCAAGAATGTTCCTCACAAAAATAGACATGTTCAATGGTTCTTTGTTTACTTTGGATATTCTAGACCATAATAGAAAGCCAAGGCTTACATCAGATGGACAGATTCAGAAGATCATCAAGAATATGAAAATGTTAGACATTTCACTGTTCCCAAATATTACATCTTTGTTGGAAAAGATAAACACTTCCCAGGATTCAGCGGAGATGTCGCTCTGGTTGCATTCAATATTGGAGAAGGTGCATTCAGACCAGGAAATGATTTCAAAGCCAAGAACGATGCTTTCAATGTAGTGGTTGGATAAAAACAATTGTTAGGAAAACAACCAGATGACAAAGTTAAAGAGAAGGAGGATGAGGATGATGATGATGGTATTACTACTCCAAGTTCTACTGATGACAATAAGCCTAAAGTTGATGAAACCAAAGAATCTGAAGAAGACTTAGTAGAATATGGTTATGGATTTTGGGCAAGATTCTTAAGTGCCTATCCAGTTAGATTACTTAATGGAAAGAATGCCCCATGGTACTTCGTATCCAGATTGACATCCAACCAAAACTATGGAAATATTGCCATGGGAGATAGAACTTTAGCTGTTTGGTTAGGACAAGGATATTATCACTTCACCACATGTGATAAGAAATCAAACAATCCAAACGTTATTTAAAATATCAATTACCCCAATGACATTGAAGGTGTTTGGACATACATCTACTACTCCTACAGTGCTTAAGAAAATAAGGCTATTGCATTCATTAAGTATGGAGACTTAGAACCAAGATCAATCATCCATAATGTCGATCACCCAGCTACTAAATATGTTAGATTCATCTTAGGTGGAAAAGACAGCAATAGATACCCAGGATTTAATGGTTTATTCAGTTAAATTGTTTTCTCTGCCAAAGAAGGAGCCTTCCTTGATACTTTAGATGATTTCAAAGATCACATCTCTAGAACAATTATTCCAGTTCATGATTTGGATAGATTATACAAGCACGAATTAGTTGAAGATACTATTTCAAGAAAAGTCAATGAAAACCCAATTTATGACGAATTAGGTGGTGGAGCTTAGAAGTTCCCACATGAGTATGCTATTAGTGGTTGGTTCAAATGGGAATAAACCTAATAGTAAGTTTGGCACAATGTCTTCAGAGTTCAAATTAACAAACCATCTACTGATAGATTCTTAGGGGACAGAACTCTTTCATTCTGGATTGGTACTGCATAAGGAGGTATTTTCCATTTCCCAACCTACACATACACCAATATGAATGGAGCTGGCAATCCAAATATGGTTAGCAACATTGTTCACAAGAATAGACATTTGGAATGGTTCTTTGTTTACTTTGGATACTCTAAAAATGAGAGAAAAGGATTTGTAGGAGTGAAATTCACAGGAGGTATTGAGACTATTGAATACAACAACGTCAATCATTATTACACTCCTTACTTCTACACATTTGTTGGAAAGGACAAGCAATTCCCAGGATTTAATGGTAAAATTGGATATGTCAACTTTGCTTTGGGAAGTGGCACTTTCAGAAAGACACCAGATTTCAAGCATCCTAATGATGTTTTCGGATTCGATAAAGGAGAATCAACTCTACTTAAGAAACCAGATTCAAAGAAACCTTAGCCCATCACAGATGAAACTGGTGAAAAACAATTACCAAATGCACACAATGAAAATAGCCCTAGAGTGATCAAAGAATTCAGATCTGATGTAGCCTTCACTGAATATGGTTACGGATTTTGGGCAAGATTCTTAACAGCTTACCCTGTTAAATTACCAAATGGTAAGAATGCTCCATGGTACTTCATGGCTAGATTGACACAACATGAAAACTATGACAACATCAGAATGGGAGACAGAATCTTGGCAATCTGGTAAGGATAAGGATATTATCATTTCACCACCAACAATGTTCAACCAGCTAACCCCAATGTGATCAGAAATATCAACTATCCATCTGATATTGAAGGTCTTTGGACACATTTCTATTTCTCTTACTCAAATACCGGAAAGGCTGTTGCAATTGTTAAATTTGGCGATTTGGATCCAGTGTCAGCTGAATTCCCTGTGAAACACCCTGATTTGAAATATCTTAAATTTATTTTGGGTGGAAAAGACTAAAATAGATACCCAGGTTTCAATGGACAATTCACCTAAGTAAT